TTTAAATTACACATAGAACAATTATATGGCTTTAATAATTAATACTATATTTTTATATTTTTATTTATGGTTATAAATATAATAATGGCAACACTAAATATAGATTACTAATTAATATTTTTAAAATTGTAATAATTATAAAAATAATAGCAAAAATTAAATAAGTAATTTTCCATATTCAATTATAATTAAAATTATAAAAATGTTTAAAGTTAAAAATATTGTAATGTAATTGGTGCAATTTTCATTTTGTTAATTGTGGGTAGGCTGTCTGTAACAACTATATCTTTAAGACATGTAACACCTCAGTCTCTCCCGTGACCATGGATGCTGTAAAGCATTCGAAACGTCGGGAACCAAAAATCAAAATAAATCCGCGAAATAATCCGAAAAGATAGTTTTATTTAATAATGTCAAACATTCGCGTAAATCTAAGAAAGTATTAAAGTATTATCATAAAGTTACTATTTGAACTAATTTAAAATTATATATCTATAGGTACATATATACCTATATGAAAATCAATTGCTGTTCGTTAGTCTCGCTAAAACTCAAAAACGGCTGGACCGATTTAAATAATTCTTTTTTTGTTTTGTTGTCGGTGTGTCAGGGGTGGTTTGAGTATAAAAAAACGGTACGTGTAATCTTTACGCGCGATTGAAGTAAAACTTCTTTGGCAAATAACACAATTCAATTATAACAAATTAATAATTAAATAAGCCATATTACAATCATACATTTATAGAATATCATACACAGTAAGAATATATGAATTATTATATACTAGCGGCTCACCCTCGCTTCGCTCGGGTTCGTCGCTAGGTAGGTACGTTTTGAATAGATATAAGTAGTTATTAGCCAGCGTTAGCCATATAAATTTTAATTTTTCATTTTTTCTCTTTATTAAAACCTTCCGTGGACCTTAAGGAACATACGAAAAATAAATTTAGCCAAATTGGTCCAGCCATTCTTGAGTTATGCGCTTACCAACATTCATTTTTATTTATATAGATTTGTTACCATGGAAACATTTTGTTATTATAGTTTTTACTAAATTTATGCACATTCATCCCACAGTAATAAATATTTGTTCTTATAAGTAATAAGTTTAGTTTTTTTTACCAAGTTTAAAATTTACTTTACATTTTATTTAACATACATATATTACAAAACATATTATTCAGCATTATTTTTCACTTGCTGTGTAATGTATTCTGTCTCATTCTCTCGCCGGCTTAATCCTATATATTTATATGTTTGTCCCTTTCTCGTTTCGCATTTCTGTTTCATCGAGTTTCGAATCACAACGATTCTAAAGAAGGTTCACTTCAGAAATAGGGAAAACCCAAAAAAACTACTGGAAAATGGAAAAGTTCAAAACTGTTTATTTTGTTCCTATGTAAAATAATACTAGCAACTCACCCTCGCTCCGCTCGGGTCCGTCCCTACTTACGTTACTACAGATTTCGCAGAGATGAAATATTTACAAATAAAAGTATCGTAGATGTTGACCCGGATAACCATCTATCATCATACCAAATTTCATCAAAAACCCTCCAGTGGTTTTTTCGTGATGCGGTAACAGACAGACAGAGAGACAGACAAAAATTCTAAAAACTATAGATTCAGCCTCTGTATTGTTAATAATGACTATTTCAATAAGATTTTCAAAAAAATATTTAATGTACAGATTCGATCCAGATTTCTATAATATGTAGGTACCTATAGATATATAATTGGCACAATTTTAAAATATGTACGTAATAAGTAGGTATTATTTATGAATATCTTCCGCATTTGCAATAAGTAGGTGTACTCCCCCATATTTGCGTATTTATTAGAAAGTAATAAAGTGTTTTCCCGAGGGCATAAGTTATTTTCCGAGGTTCGAACTAGCTTAATATGTCACTTTTTAACCTTCATCTTCATACAAGATTGATATCAATCCGCCGCCCGCTCCGTTTTAACGTTAAAGAAGAATATACCTATACTTAAACATCATCTATGCTAATATTATTTAGAGAAAAAAAAATTTTGTATGTGAAAAAAATATTTATTTGTAATGAGTAGGTACCTACCTAAACCGATTTAGATGAAATTTAGTATAAAGAAATTTTGAAACTTTGGGAAGGACATAGGATAGTTTTTAATCGCGGAAATCATCCCTTAAGGGGTTGAAAAAGGGGATGAAAACTTGTATAGGGAATCAATCATTTCTCAAGTACCTATCTAAGAGATATAGTCTCATCATACCTATAAATATATATACCTAACTAATAGGTATATACTACATATCTATCTATCTATTCGACACTACCACACACCCAGAGACGAACCCAAGCGAAGCGAGGGTGAGTTGCTAGTTCGAAATATTTATTATTTTAATTACCTACTTATAATTTGTTAACTGATTTTATGATGCAATTTTGGAATTACGTTTCTTTTATTATAATAATGACTTAAAAAGGTTTATTCACTAGAGCATAAAATACTTATAGCAAATTTATGTTAAATATAAATTGAATTTTTACAATTGTTGGACCGACCTTGATAAAAATTGGCACAGATATTGAGAGCTTTCTAAGCGCATTATATACCTTACTGAAAATTAGGTAATAGTTTCGGTGGTACAGAAAATGGAAATAATATTAAGTACCTACGTATTAATATGCTCATTTCTGACGTGTTATTACTAAATTAATTTAGGATACTTAAATATGGTAATAAATTTCATATAAATGTTGTAAATTTTCCCTATTGTTTGTGGACTGCATATAGAGGGATTTAATATACCTACCTTTCCAAAGACAATGTTATATTTTTGGAGTTTCTATGAACCTACTTATATGTAGGTACGTTAAATACTTACAAGTACAAGATAAATGTGAAAAAGTGGTCAGTAAAAACTTTTCTTTAGGACATGGGATATTTGTTACACTTAGATTTCCTATTTCTAAAATTTTATTTATCATCACGATTTTACTTATCATTATGAAAGTTAAAACGCAAATTAGAAGAATAGATATTAATAATAATCAATTGTATAAATAATAATTCCATCCACTACTGATATATTTTCTCAAAATGTGTAATCTATATACCCGTAATCTATAGGTAGGTATCCTAGCCAATAGGTACCAAAAAATCATGGAATTTGTAAAAATTATAGGTATATCTACCTATGTCTATTGAGTACGTATACCTACCTTCTTTTATGAATTCAGTGAAAACCCAGATTTCCAAAATTTTCAAACAATTACTTAATGAAAATAAATTGCGATTTTGATTTAATAACAACAGTCAATACAATTTGAAGCCAGATAGGTACTTCCAGTTTCTTATAATCACTATACCTATTGGATATATTTTGCATATTTAAATTAATATTAGGGGAACATAAAATAAAAATAGATTGTCGATTAACATGAATTTATTTAGTTTATCAATGTTTCGTGTTGGTGCGAAAATACTAATAACACGGTGTTCACAATCAATTATCAATTTTCAACACAATATACAACAAACAGATATACAAACATTACGTGAATATGTTATAACAGTTTTATTCTATACTTTACTTTAAAGATGTACATAAAACGACCAAATGAAATATTACTAGCACCAGGGTATCGAATTAGCGTCACACAAAACAAAGAGATAAACAAATCTTTCATTATTGCAAATATTGGTCAATAAATAATATATCATTACATTAAGTATCAACATAATGAAAGGCTAAGTCATAGTAAAAATCAAATCTCATAATAGGCGCGATGCATACGCGCTCTAGGGAACTATAATAATTATTATTGATACATTATTTATTTTCAGCATTAAAAACATTAAATCCTATTATAAGCAATTACACCTACATTGTATTTACAGAACCATTAAAACTAGAAATAATCTCATTCAAAGTAAAAAAATATATTCACTTTATTTCTCAACGCTACCGATGCAATAATTGTACCATAAAACCTATATGGCTACGGTTTATGATTTAATATAGTTAAATGAGATTCTTAAAAGTATTTATATAATTTTACAAATATGTATCTTTATTGATTTGCCGATCATTTTACTCAGACCCATTCTTAAGCAAACTCTAAGATATATATTAAAAGAGGAAATTACGGTTAAGTAAGTTTTGGAAGGTATAATAATCTCATCAACAGCATACGAAACGTTGAGAAATATCAATAAATTTAAAAACAAATTAATAATACTTAAGTATTATAATATAAAAATATAGTTATCTATATTTACAGTGACAAAAATCATTTTAAGTTAAGGTAAATACTATTTCTAACTAGCATTAAAAGGCCTGAATAGCCTGATAGCGTACCATGCCGTATCTGTCATACCACAAATGTACTACTTAAAGTGGCGTTTTAAACAAATTTAAATAACTTAATGATTTTCCAATATTCGTATAACAAACATTATTATTACTATGTTTACTTTTATACGGGCCATTTCTAAAGAATTCATTTTTTAAATGTGGCTTTATGTTACGGAGGGTACGGTTTAATAGGCACCTACGAGTTAATAGCGCTAAAAAGGCAATGAATAAGTTTTACGAATTGGGTCGAGGCTTGTCCCATTAAGAGGCAATAAAAGATATTTTTTAAGAATGTATGAACGTCGTTAATAAAAAAGCCTAGAGCCCAATGTATACTCCTTGAGTTAAGATGTTTGTTACTATTACAATAAGGTACCTACCTACCTACAAAATGCGTCAGCATCGAATTTACTTTAAAAATTCTGCGAGAATTCAAATCCACAATAGTCGGACTAAATTTCAGTACAAGAATTTTTATTTTAAATATATATTTTGTTACGATTATCCACACGAAATATTCTCGTAAGAATATTGCACAGTTTATCACAAGTCCATTAATGATGAAAATTCAATGCAAAAGCATATAAGTCTGTCGTTTATTTAATCACTGGGTTTCACTATAGGTGTCACTGTTACCACAAAAGTCTTGTTGAGGTCACAGGAGAGGAACTGGCGGAACCCCTGGAACTAACGGTTCCGGAACTCCTTGAAGAACCCCTTGGTGGTAATGGTGATGATGCATCATACCGTTCATCATCTGTTGGTGGTGTAACATTGTAGCGTGATGTAATTGCGCATGTTGTAAAGATGCGTGATCGCCTTTCTCTTTCATTACCACTTCTTCGCGTTTTTTCACTTGTTTCCTCTCCTTTGCGCGGCGATTTTGAAACCAAATTTTTACCTGTTAACAAAATAAAAACAGTTTACTCTTTTGATAAAAGTTATACCTACCCGTATTATTTGTTTACCCAATTATTAATTTTATACCTACTTAAAAAAAAAACAAAAAATAGATTTAATTAGTAAAAACGTGATTAGTAACGGACCTACAAGTTAGCCAAATAGCTCTGTTAGGTATATCATAACAAAACAACTATAACCGAATTTTCCTTCGTGATGCTATTTCTAACTTTTATTTTCAATAAAAAAAAACAACACTATTCTAAGTATCTCCAAAGTGTGACTGCTTTAAGTAGGTATGTTGCACATTTTGTCAAACACGTTACTATCTAATTATAATAATTATTATTTGTGTCTAAAGAGTGGCACAAAAGCACCCTGAAACCAATTCAGCTTAATAAAATGGACATCTAAGAATAAAAAAATAATTTATAAAAATAAGTAAGCACAATATATTTTAACACGATAATAAGATATATACGCGAATATGTTAATAATCAACACTATTAAAATTAAATTACGAGAGAGCCTTTCATAAATAGAACTGAACACTAGAAGGTTAAAACCAAAGTAACTATGTAAATATCTTTTTTTTTAATATTTTTGTCTATTTCTCTTATTCCTCATTACGCAGAAACAAAGAGGAGATAAAAATGAATAAAGAAGATTTAATGTAATATGTGGTAGAGGTGGGTATAACTTTTGCGTCGATAATGAGAAAATGCTATTTAAAAAAATACTTTTTGTAACTAAGTTTGTGTCTTGCTTACCTGTCTTTCAGAGAGTCCAAGACTAACGGCTAATTCAGCCTTTCTTCGGATAGTTATATACCGACTGTAGTGAAACTCCTTTTCTAACTCCAGCCGCTGGTGGTCGCTGTACACCACCCGGTATTTATCTTTCGTGCGAGTTTTCCCTGCAGTAATAGAAAATTTCAATAAGTATCGCATTCTATGGTTTTTAAGTTAAATTATGGTGTAATTTTTGTTCATACTTATATAAAGTTTTCATTATATTCATTAACCTACCTCTACTATATAAATCCCATACAAACTTTTTTTTATTATTTTTTTTATTATATAATCTATACTAATATTATATAGAGGCAGATTTTGTTTGTTACTTTACTTGCATCACCTATTATTGTGTTATAAAGTTAAATAATAACTTAATTCTTTCAAAATATCAGTAGGTAGTGTGGAGTTTATCGACTTCGCCAATATCATATAAAACAAAAAAAATCGAAATCAATTGATATAGTGGTCTGACTATCCGATACATAATAAACGGGTTTATGTTTATGCTAACTGAATCTACACCGAAGATCAAACTTATAGCTAACTATAAGTAGGTATACACTGTAAGTTTAAAAGTTTAAAAGTTTTTAATACAATTAGAATCGCCACTATTTCAGTGATATACCTACTCTATGAAGAAGACGGTAAAAATTGTTAGCATAAGAGGACCCTCTCCGACTGGCTCGATAAGGTTAATCCAGGCGGCATGGTACTGAGAGGGCGCACGCTTTGGCTTAACTACGGGATTATCAACGGACCACACCTAGTGTCCACCATTTTATTAATAGACAGTAAATTTTAAGTATTCGAGGTAAAAAATATCGTTAACGAATTAAATAATTTGAACGTAAGATTTTAAAATACTGTTAGGTAAATGATATACCTATTTATTTAGCTATCATCATTTTACTTGAAGCATCGTTTGTACAAAATTTTAGAACAAACATTACATTTAGGTACATGCCACTTACGCCAAGTTTTAAAATAATTTTAGCTGTGAGAAGACACTCAATATGGTTAGAAAATATTATAAATTAAACTGCTTTATTTGTTCAAAATATACAAAATAGTACCTGAATTTAGTTGCGTTACGATACCTACTTGATTTTATGTACACTATACGATGTACCTGTTTTTTTTTGTTTTATAATAAAGGGGGCCAACGAGCTAACGATCAACCTGATGGTAAGTGGTTATCTTCGCTCATTGACGTCTTACATAAGAGGAGTTGTGTGTTGTGTGAGTGTGTGTTACATAAGGGACCTGAAGACAAAACTCTTGAAGAATCCCATATTGTAGCGCTCAGGGAAACCCTCAGGAGGAAGATCATGTTACAATTACCAATGTGCACACACCTTTGTAATACCGTGAAAATGCTTAGCGACATGGTAGTATTTAGCGACCATTCCTGGTCTATTGTGATTGCCGCATTTTATACTAGACCACCACCACCACTAAACCCTGCAGATGTTAAAAACTGTAGGATTTTCTTAGGGTTACACTATTTTATTTCATCTAGGCCTAGAAATTGTTTTCCTAGATGAATACTGTGTGTGTGTATTGTGTGTATCCACATTCCCATAGAAAATGAAGTTGTGTTTCGTCTGCTTCCATGCATATTTTGCAAGTTCGCGTTTCGCTCAACCCCAGATTGAACATGTGCTTGTTTAAGCAGCAGCTTCCAGTAAATTTATTAAATGTCCTTACTAATATTCATAAGGTTTTTCTATTTACCGCTAGAATAAAGTAATAAAACCTTCTGTTATAGGCTTTGATTAGTATCTTGGAGTAAACCATTCCATTTGATTTAATCCAGACCTTGTTTGTAGTCTTGAGACATGCTTTCATTAGGGTTTTTTGAGCTAAGCTCTTGGGTATTCCGCAGAAGGGCAGGACCCTGCTGCATACCAAGAGCTGCCTCTCTAGCGAGCTCATCGGCACATTCGTTGCCAATTACCCCTGCATAACCTGTCACACATCCTTCACATCCTGGTACACATTTTTATCGACATCTTAACACTACTTTTGTTAACGAAAAACTTTTGTTAATTGTTAATTGTTGTTTTTGCTAAAAGGTTTAATCGGTCCATGCACTGCTCTACTAGCTTTGATTAGACTGTTTTGAGTATAATGCTAGTAGTGAACATGGTAGTCTAATTCATTAATAATTATAAATAATTAATAATTAAAAAATAAGCGTAGGTCAGATTAGATCATTTTTACGCGACTGTCACACTGACAGAGAGGTGATAAATTTTTAGAGGAAGAGCCCGTGAACGCCAGACCTTCGTCATTTTATAAAGGCTGAAAGTTTGTCAGCGCATGCTCCCAACACAGATAAGAACGATGGACCATTATGAAGTTCAGGCTATGGTGGCTTTGGCAGGTACACGGTACTAAAGGTGATTTTTTGAAAGTGTGATTTTTTGGTATTACCTTCAGAATATTATTAAAAATCACGTCATTCAATGCCAGGCACTAAACATCGTGGCAAACCCTTGCCAGACACTCTTTTCATGAAATTATAATTCTACTTACGTTATAGTATAAAAGCTGATTTTTATATATAATACTTGGGTAATAATTAGATGATTTATACCTATGTAATCATACATTTCTATTTATGGCATGCTCTTTAGTCTAATTGGCTTAATGGATATTAACATAAGAATTGTTAGATTCGCCTTAACTAAGGAAGTGATTGATATGAGGCAGGAACATGATTTTCTTTCGCTTAATATTTTTCACAAAGTCATTAATTTAGGCAGTTATACTATTAATGTTTTGTTGTTGTTTAATCCTCATCGACTTTATTTGTTACAAAAATCAGAATATTTTATCGAAGATATATATATATTTATAGACGCCAATGGAGGACTCGTGTTGGTCATAAAATATACGTAGGTAGGTTCCTACTACTTACTTCATTTTACTAAAATATGTAGGTAGCTTTACGTTAGTAGGTACCTACCGTTTAATCCGTAATGTAGTGGTATGCGTAAATGCATTTCCCAACGTTAAAAAAGGTACGTTGCGTAATTAATACAAATTAAATTTTGGCCATAATTAGATATTGAAATCTATACTAATATTATAAAGAGGAAAGTTTGTGAATTGTAAGTTTATAAGGTTGAAGGGGGTAATCTCTGGATCTACTGAACCGATATAGATGAAATTTGGTAAGAAAATAGTTTGAAACCCTGGGAAGGACATAAAAATTTTTTATACCGGAAATCATCCCTTAACGGGCTGAAAATGTGGATGAAAGTTTGTATGGGGAATCAAACTACCCAGGGGCGAACCCAGCGAAGCGAGGGTGATACACTAGTAATCTATAAGTACATATCTTATATGACCTAACCATTTGTCTTCTTCAACATTTATACATAAGTTCTCAGAATTTGCAAATAAAATTCTCTAGGCTAGTATAAACTTTACCTCACTGACTGCAATCATGTCTCATATCTAATAAAATAATACAATTAATTTAAGAAATAATAAAATAGTAAGATTCCATTTTACACACAAATAAATATATCAAGAAAAGGCAGTGGTAGCCCAGAGGTAACGCGCTCGCTTGGGAAACCGAGTGAAGCGAGTTCAAATCCCGGGTCTCGCACCTCTGATATTTTCATGTACGAATCATTTCCAACATGATTACCACTTGTCTTAACGGTGAAGGAAAACATCGTGAGGAAACCTGCATGTCTGAGAGAACCTAGTAAGTTTTCAAAAGACATGTGAAGTCCGCCAACCCGCACTTGGCCAGCGTGGTGGACTATGGCCTGATCCCCGTCGTATTGAAGGGAGGTCCGTGCCCCTGCAGTGGGACGTTAAAAAGGGCTGAATACAAATATATCAATACGCAAAAATATATAGGTAATACGCAAAATTGTAACTTCAGCATTTAACATTGTCAATAAATAACTTGTAAGTTAGGATTAAACAAAAGGAAATTTAAATTGACGACACGTTTGGCTCAGTATGTATTGACCCTACTTGCTGCGCCAGCGATCGCGGGTTCGAGTCCCGCTAGGGGCATTCATTTGTGTGATAAGCACGAATGTTTGTACTGCAGTCATGGGTGTTTATATTTATATGTTGTATGTATTTAAAGTTATATAAGTATGTGTAGTGTATCAACTATCTGGTATCCATAACACAAGCCTCGTAGGTTACCATGGAACTAGATGGTGCTGTGTGTTATGTCCCAATAAATAAATAAATAAATATTTCTGTTATATGTATTGAGTGTATTAAGTTTTAATAACAAATAGTAGAATCAAAACTTCATAAATCTAAATTTTAAAAAGCCTTAGACTTACAGTTATTATCGGATACCTACATATCTTTGAAAACGTATGAAATATAATGAACAACGACATATTAATATAATTATTAGAGATTAATATACTTACTATATTTTTTTAAACGTCAATTACCCAATTTAAGATTTTTTACTGATTTAGGTAGGTAGATACAATTATTGTGTTTAGTTTGTTTAGGTTCTCTCAGTCATGTAGGTTTTCTCATGATGTTTTGCTTCACCATGTAATTATGTTGAAAGTGAATCGGACATCAGAGGGGCGAATCCCAAAGTTTGCACCAACTTCATAGGTTTTCTAAAGGAGAGCGTTGTCACCGGGATCCGGCGGCCCGTTGTAGAAATGTTGACTTTAGTAAAAAAAATGGTAAATTATTATCAAATTATAGGTTGTCCTTAAAATCCTTTAGTGCACACGACCTGTTCCACCGCAGGGGCCGTATTAGTTACTAGCGGCTCACCCTGGCTTCGTTCGGGTTCGCCTCTAGCAAAACAAAAACAGATCTATTTCACGAGAACCGTACATTTTTCCGGGATAAGAAGGAGTCTTTGTGTTATTCCAGACTATAATCTATCTCTGTGCCAAATTTCATCCAGATCCGTTCAGCCGTTCTGTCGCGAAAGAGTAACAAACATCCATACTCACAAACTTTCACATTTATAATATAGTATAGATATAATACATAATATTAGTTATTATCACACAACAGGTATATACATGTAACAATAGGTATACTATGTATACCTTATGTATGTATTTGTTGTGTTATATATTACTTTTGAACTAGCACTAGAATTACACTAATAATATAATATAATTAGTGCTAAATAGCAGTTTTACGATACAGCAAAAGTAGCCTAAAGCGATTTAGATACTTAGGGATTACCTACTTAGACACGGAACCCTACTTTTTTTTTGTATTTGTATATCTTCCCATGACAATTGTAATAACACATTCTGAAAAATTACAACCAGCCATTTTCTGTTACGTTAAGGACTTTTTATGGTCGAATACGTAGGTGGACAGCGTGGGCATGGCAATATTGTCCCACCTCAACACCTCCACTTTGTAGTCGCAACGCTACAGACAAGTAAAGTAATGATGACTGGCGTTAATGAGAACATACAATTTAAAATTACTGATACGATATCATCAATGGCTTAAAATATAATCTACAGACGATATATTCTCAACTTTACAACCCATTTCTTAATCCAACGTCCATGACATATCTTTACTTTAGCTCTTAAAAAGGAAAATACCAAGGAGAGTTTTGTTATTCCGTCAAAAATGGTAATTTTTATTTGCATTTTTTATCTGCATCGTAGATTTCTCAACAGTGAAATTACTTAGATACGTAGATCTGTTGACACAACACTAAGACAGAGTAGAGTCTGCTTGTATACTCAAGAGTGTGTAAATATCCCTTATCTCGGTATTAGAAACTTCATAAATTATGTTTGTCACATGCGGGAGAATAAGACTCAAATTACAATTATAAGTAACTTACTACCTAGAAATGTTACGTAATATGTACCTATTCACTTTTACAAGTGTAACTGTAGTCCACATAACGATATAGGTGTATTACTATTAATTACAATTTGTTTTGTTTGTCTGTACCTATTTCGTAGCCAGTGTCAGTTCTCTGCTGAACTTGGCCTGTTACTTATATACAATATACCTAAGGTGTATCTAACTTCGTTTTACACAGTCATATAAAATTTTATTACAGCAAATAAAAGATTATGATTTAATGTATGTTGTGATCTTTAGAATGTTTAATTATTTTGTACATTATTCATTAAGCAGAAAATAATTCATATAACTTGTAACAACAAATATGAAAGCGGGTCAAAAGTCAACATCGTGACATGTTTTCTTATGCTAGTTCGAAAAACTATAACGATATTGTTCATATAGATGTAAGAAGATAAACTCTTTACAGAGCTCGAATGACAGAAAATTATAACTTAAATAAATTTCCTGTTAGACAAGTAAACAAAAGTAGAACTAGTAAGGTAAACAAATATGCTCTATCTATAGGTGATGCAGTGTTTGATACGAGTCGTTAATTTTCGAGGCAAACAGGGGCCGGCCGGGCACCTTATATCTTCTGCCCTCACACATTGCGGTGTGCTTTTGTAATCTCAGGCAGATAACAGCTATTATACTCGCAAAACTACATGTTAATGTTAAAATAATTATAATCCTGTACATATTATTATAGGAATGAACTACCTTGTGCATTCATTCCTTGAATTTTATGTACTATCTTTACCACTATTATAAGTCGATTATATGTTTATTATTGTTGCACTTTGTCAGAAAATTTGAAATCTAAGGATAAATTTCAGATGGCCAGTGACGCCAATGTGTGAATCTTGAGACCATTAATGGTATATAAGCTGCACGATAATAAGTAAACTAAATAGCAAAGCATCGTAGGAATCAGTGTTATCATGGTGGGTTTTGAGAAAAAATATTGTTTGTGGCGAGCAAACAGCGCGGGCGGGCGCGGCGGCCGAGGGCGGATAGGACTTTTAGTCAGCTGCTATCATAGACAAATACCGTACCAGATAAACCGTCTCGGAACGGGGTGCATTGTAACCACCATTATGCATGAATTTGATAGTGTTTCTCTAAGTCTATGGATTAAATACTGAAAATATAACCTAAAATGTGAAATCTATACATTTTAAATAAAACTATCTTTTCGGATTTTTTCGCGGATTTATTTTGATTTTTAGTTCTATATAACACTCCATATACTATAAGAAAATGAGCCATTATCATAATTTCAAATATAGGCACTGTTGAGTTTGTTTTATATGGTATCGCCTATTTTTTGTCTGACTGGTTACTAATTATAGGCATTGTGATGAAAAAAGCATAGGTATCTTCAGATATATTTGATAACTAGCGACTCATCTTTACTTCGCTCGGGTTCGCCTCTAAACAAACAAAACCAAATCTATCCCACAGGAACCGTACATTTTTCCAGAATAAAAAGTAGCCTATTTGTTATTTTGATGTATGAAGTATATTATTGTAAAGTTTCATTAAAATCTAATGAGAAGTTTTCGTGTACTAAGCTGTATAAATTACTATAGTTTTTTTTAACTATATCACGGGAACTCTTTAATTTTTCGGGGTAAAAGTATTTAAAATGTTGACAAGGTACCACCATGCAAAATTTCATTTAAATGGGTCCAACAGTTTCGGAGATTAGCCCGTACAAACAGAAAAAGAAACAAAAAAATGAAAAAAATCAGGCTTTGTTCTATTTATTTCTCTTCTTACACCCCCCTGACTAGGCTTATAGCTTTTTTTTCTATGTACAAACAAACATTCGACCTCTACAGTTTTATTATATGCATAGATAAGTTTTACTTAAGATAGCCAAACTACAATATTGATATACGTGGCTACTCGATTAAATTAAAGAGACATAAAAACAAAAGCATTATCAAAAAACGGTTATTTACTCGCGTTGACGAATACACTAATATTGTAAGCCCAATATTGGTGAATAATGAACATCGCTCATACACGTATCTGATCCGAGATTACACGTGTAAACGTAGCTGATATCGAGCCCTGCGATTGCTGTCGAACATCATGTTGGACTCGATTTATATAAAGAAAACAATTAATCTACTAGGTATCGGTTACGCTTTACGCGTTGTCGGCCGAAATCCCGCTTAGATTAATGCGCGATAATCGCGACAAGCTCGTGATAGCGGCACCTTTGACTGCGTTGATTCAACAAAGCGGCCTATCGCCCAGTTACCTTCTTGTAAGCGCATGTAATGTGTTTTTGATGGAGGAGGGCGCGGCCGCTATCAACTATCACGGCGATAAATTCGATGAAGACGACTATCGTAATATGTATTCAAGTGACGCTGATCTTATTTTGACAGAATCAGTGAAAACGTGATTGCAGGTGTCGAGTTTGAGCGAAACAACATGAGAAGGGGATAAGAGGACAAGTTATCCTCTCATATCCCCAAGGGAGGCAAGCTTGTTCCGAAGGGTTGGATAGAAGTAGGGCGGGTCGTAAAGCGGCATCTCGCTCACTTTATGTACTTCTTTACGTCCATTTAGGGCTTCAATTCGACCCGACGGCGTCGAAAACAACGTTAACGATTACCTAGATCATATACCATTAACTAACACTTATCGGTACACGTAGTTATTTAACGAATATCTAAAATCTATTTAATATACTATATGACGTATAAAAGCGTCATCTTTTTGCCGATACGTTATAATAACATAACATTGTCTGTACACAGCAAATACATTTAAAGATTGATAGTTTAAGACCGCTTATTAATTTTCTAAGTTTGTAAATTAGAAATAGCTGTCAGTGTGCAGACGTGCGAAGAATAACGAGGCGTTAAAACATCAATTAGTTACGAGACCAAATAATAACAAACAATAATCGTGTTCTACTGTTTACTTCTGAATTTTTTTTGCGAACTACCAGCCTCCCGCGGTGCTGACACCGCGAGATAAAGAAAGATCTCAGCGCTCTCTACAATTATCTTACAGAACAATATTTTAAAAATGTTGATGAAAAGATAACAATGGGACAGTTCAGTGAGTGAAATATCGATATTTCCAGCAGAGCGTATCGTCCCGTAGGATTGGTGAATGAATATGGACAAATAGACAATTATTTCCATGAACGATCCGGCTTGTGCAAACAAAACGTTTGAGTGATAGAGACAGAAGTATTTCGTATACACAAAGTCGGTTAGGTTTATTCTGTATATAAATACACGCGCAAACATTACATTCTTATTGATATAATATAATGCATTGTGTTTAGTAGACATATTGAAAAGTAGAACTATGCACAATGCACATATGTAAGCATGTACTTACTAAGCACCTATATAATCTACATGTGTACTATATTGTATGGGTATTACTAGTATGTTAAAGATAATGTGTATTGATTACTTAAATATCTAAGATAAAAGCTTTTACTTAAAACCAAACATGTTTATGCATTAAATATGCATAGATAGTAGATAGTATGAATTGATATTAACATATATTCGGAAGAATATAAGTACCTAGTAAGTAGGTATCTACTTACATATACCCATTGGACCCCCGTGTTTATGTGTCACAACGGCATTTTTTCTAATCAGACCACTAATATACCTACATATATTTCTAAACGCTGAAACGGCTGGACGGATTTGATAAAATTTAGTATACCTATAGATAGAGTATAAACTGGAGTAACAAACAGACTTTTGGTAGGTACCTAGAGATGCACCCGAGCGAGGCAAGGCTTACTAGCTAGTCGCTAGTATATATACCTTTAGGTAATTTAAATAATTTAATGATAATTTATTACTTTTAAATGAACATTAAAAATATCCCAAAATTATACGTTAACAACGCAAAAAATCAAATTAGTCAAAGAATCGTTTAAATATAGCTTGCAATCGTGCACATAAAGACCAAGGTAAGTACGATTACTACGGAGTGAATATCTGTTGGCAAAGATTTAACTTTGCGGTCTCAGGGGCGCCATTGGCGGTGATTGTCGCCGGGAGCAGCCCGAACCCCGGACCCGGGATTGCGGGATTAATTGCTCTCACCATGCACTCGCTCCCTCGGCTCGCGTTAAAACGAAATGTTCCAGTAAGCGCAAAATAACATCTAAGTAATGTAATGCTCAATGATAATTGCGACGCATGACAATGACCCCATCGGGATATTTGACGTAAGAATTTATACTATAGCCTATTGCTTTGTTAAATTTTATAATATTGTTGAAAGCTTTATTATTTATCGTGTCTTTTTTGCTATTAAACGTTTCTTGTTTATAATTGAAGATAATACACGAATAACTTATTGAAAAGTGGCATTGTGATGACCCCAAAAATAGCAGTAGTTATCTATTGGTTAATCGGTTAGGTAGGTACCTATTTATTTATTTATTCCAAAATTGTAATTATATAAATGCTACCTACATTAAGGACTAATGAATTGTGCATATAAATATAAATAAACCTTTATGATTTCAATGATTAGTCATTAATAAGGTTCATTCGTGATATTTTAAGATATATTTGGCAGTAGTATTACTTTTAAAAAAAATAATTAATAATAGAATATTATTTGCGAACAATTTAGCTCTACAACATTCTGAACAAAATTAGCATAAGATCAAGCTTTAAAGGTTTATAAAAGATTTTGTAAATTATGTTATAATTCATAATTATATACGGTAAGAGAATTGATATAACACTAATAAATCACAATGTTATTTATTTGCATGCGAATTATAAGGAAAAGAGATAAATTTTAAATGTTTTTGTTTAATATTACCTGCAATTAGGTGCGTATGAACTACCTCGTGGAATAATAGATAATTTAAAAGTTATGTAGGTATATTGCTACTGTTATTAAAAAAAAATTTAAACGCTTAGAATGAGTTATACTCCGTCACGTATGGCGGATCTATTTAAATATGTATTTTTCATGTAGATAAATCTCTCATTTCCCGTTTTTATACTAAAATATTATCTTTTGTAGTTAATGCGCGTTTTGCCTTTTTGTAACTAAAACTTTTTGCATATACCTAGCTTTAAACTTAGAAAAAGTGGTTACATTTATAATGTTTAAATCAAATCGACGTCAAAATTATAAATTATTCATGCCTATTAAAATGCAAATTTTGCGAAAAGCACAGGTTACCTTTGGCAGGTACGTACGGCTTTTAATTAATTTTAATGGAACACCAGACCTCTTATACCTTCTATTACCTACCTGTTATGTTTTCAGTCAACATTTATTTGGAATCTATACTACAGATAAATAAGTGTCTGCTTCTAATATCAAAATAATAGTTTTTGCATAATGTACATATATGAAATTATATACGGTAGTTATAAGAAAAACACAATTTTTAAAATTTCTCTCTGTCTGTTTGTTCCGGCTAATCTCCGAGACGGCTGGACTGATTTTGACGGGACTTTCACTGGAAGATAGCTGATGTTATAGGGAGTAACATTGGCGTTCGTCCTTAGGTACGTTTTAATATTTTTGAGCGGAACCCTAATTCTTTTTCTAAAATAAAAATACAGACAAACAGACAAACAGGCAGACAGACAAAAAAATTGTATTTTTCTTATAAGTACCTACCGTATATAATTGTATACATATGCATTTAGTAAATGTCAAAATAATTGACATTACAAACATACACTACAATTATATTTATCTGTACAGATTCTATAAATAGATTCTACCTATACCTACTTAGATGTAATTCATATAGGTTAGGTATAGGTATAATAATAGGTATATGCTTATGCGAATATATGTAAGTTTTGTTTATCCGTTGGTGTACCTAAAAATCGCTAGTGTCCCACTCTTCCTTAGGTAAATTTTCAGGTGGTTCGGTATTTAAACCTATTATTACTAAAACCAAACATCCTATGCTACTTTTGGGTAATGTAGCTTTTCGATGGTGAATTATTAAAATCGGCTAAATAGTGTCAGAGTCTATCGATTAAGTAAAAACAAAGATCTTTTGTCCTTTTATGTTGAGAGTAGGTATAATACCTACATTAGGATTCATAAAATATACCTACATGATGTATGATTTTACAGTATATTTGTTATAATGATATTCATATTGTGTAAATTATTGAATTATAAAAAAATTAACTACAATACTATTTTTATTTTAGTAGTACCTACCTACCTACCTATTTAAAAATATTTTAGTGTATAAAATATAATGAATATAAAGAATTAAGGTATATTTTTTGTTTTTTTTTTTTTTAATTAAACTGTCCTTGGATAACAAATTGTTCATATTTTTTTTATAGGTATGTATATATTATTATGAATTTTATATACAAATAAAATACATATAAAATTCAATATTTTAAATTCATTCTTGTTAATTTTGAATTTTTTGAATTTATTCTTATTAAGTTGTGGGTAGGCTGTCTGTAACAACTATACCTATACCTAATGCTTGTGAGACATCTTAAACCTTAGTTTCTCCCGTGACCATGATTGCTGTAAAGTATTCGATACGTCGGGAACCAAAAATCTAAATAAATTCGCGAAAAAATCCGAAAAGATCGGGTAATGCCCACGTTGTACTCTGTTGACTAATTGAGAAGCTTCCTTAGAGCTTTAAACATAAATACGGTCATTTTGTTTGTTAAAATATCGCTCAGTTGTAAATTAATCTCATCCGTAAACAATTTTTTTCTGTGACCTCCCTTTGCGTACCGCTTAAGTAGTTGTTTAGATTTTACCTCCCTATTCTTTTTTTAATTATCAGTTAAGAAATGACCAGTGCATCTCTTATAGGCTGCAAGTCCTAAATCATCTGTTAAAATATGCGACATGGTTCTAGGTGCTATCTTCATCTTTCGACATAAAATCTTTTGCTTTCGGACAGGATTTCTTCGAACTCTTTCCCTTACTGCTTTGAAAGCCTTTTCGTACGAACACTACGTGGACGGTCAAATTTTTTTCGGTCACAAACAGACGAGGTTTTGACTAATATCAAGCGTATGGAGAATTTTAAAAATCGTATTTGGCTCCATACCTACTTTGTGTAATGCAATCACAGCGATTCGGTTCTCTTTATCACCCCACTCAATTTTAACATCACAAAAGATGTTACAATGTATTGGCGCGAAAATGAGAAGACACAATGAACAATCATATAAAAATAACATATTCCAAATTCAAATGTAATATTTTCTTTATTTTTAATTGTAACAGTATTTATGGCCAGACTATGTATTATATTAAAATAGTTATGCCTCGTTAATGTTATTTATATTCAAATATAATAAAACTAAAATTGCCAATTCAGCTAACAATCGTAAAACAAAAGAAATCTGGCCGTCGAATACAAAGTCCGGAAAAATTGCAATTTGATTCGCAAAGTTTGTCTCGTCTGCTCTTTTGATTGTGCTCATTCATCCTTCCTTATAAAACGTGTATAATTAAAATCAAAAACTATAAATTTTATGATATCTTTCTTATACTTTTTTGAAATAAACGTCTATAGCTCTCTATTTTTTAGTTTGTTTCCTACAAGTTTGTAGGAAAATTCAGTTGAAAATGTCAAATATACTTAATAAATAATTTAGATGCTTTTTTGTTTCAACATAGATTTTAACATCTTATGGTTATATAAAATTACAAAATTATAAATAAACAAAACAATGACTAAATAAATAAAATGTTAAATAACAAAAGGGCGTTATTATATTATTAGGTATTCAACTTATAACAATTAAGTATTATTCATACCTACGTAGGCGAGTATCTTATTATTCTTATATCTACGAGTATTTACCTGACTGTGCGATGCAAAGGAGTGTAATGTGTTTATCAATCTATGTATGTATGTTGTTCCTATACCTATAGCATTCTAGAGACCAAATGCGTGGGCCGATTTTTATGATTCATACGTCGTTAGATTCGTCTTGATAACGGGAGTGTCATAGGCTAGGTAGGTATATAAAAATAGTTAAAAATTAAAATGGCGGATTTCAGACGCCAATTTGTGTGTATTTAAAAGAAAATCTTCCATTCGAGTTCGGTATCAAATGAAGGTTTTTATGAGGCGATCACAACTTACACGTTTAAAAGTAATTTAGGAAAAAAAAATGCAAAATATTACCATATGAGCTACATAAATAATATACGTGCATTCCCTGTATATACATATAGTTAGGTATATTTTTCTAGCAACTAAGGTGTTTTCTTTAAATACATATGTAATAGAATAGATACTTCTGAAGCAAATAATTAACCAAGTATCATATTATGTATCAATGGTATCTAAATGAAAATAAATGGGGATTTTTTAAATAGGTATCTTAATTTAACGATTAATCTCTACTTATTCTCCACCCTAATTGCTATAGAGCTCAAATGTATCTTGAGCAATAAACAACCTGTGTTGAATAAAAAAATTATATTTTAGTTCAATCTTCTAGTGTGTACGTACCTGTTTCTCTTTCTGTCTACTTCAGCGTGGTAAATTACTAAATGTCATAATTTAAATACCTGGTATATATATATATATATATATATATATATATATATATATATATATATTATATGTATTATAGGGATATTTATTTCGTATGACCTACCATTCTAAATCTATAAAATATAGCTAACTTACCTACCAACTGTTTAGTAACTAACTTAACCTACCCATTTATCTTTGCATCACGGAAATATTTGCTAAATGCTTATTGTTTGTTTGTATTTAAGTCATGAATGTATTGCTAAATTATTTAATACACTGATGTATGTTTATAGTTATGTAATTGTCTTGTAGTTATAACTCATTACTTTACATTACTCGAGCAATCTTTAACGTAAGTTCTAAGTACCTACTTACATATGTAATGTACATTTCTAAGACCTATTAGGAAAAAATACTTAGAATATAAAAAAAAAATCGATATATAAGCATAATTCTCTTTAGGTTCTATGCAAAAATTATAATCTATGATTAAGTAGGTACCTACTCAGCCATAAGTTGCACATTTGTATTCACATACCTATGTGTAATATAATTTTGTTAACTATTCAATATTCACTAAAATATACAATTTCACTTGCCTATTATTGATAAGCGCTAACCAAAACAATTTTTTTAATTACATTTATATAATAAACTAAGGAGGTAGATAAAAATAAAAACCTGGATTTGGCTGAGACTGGTAGCTGGGTTTTTTCATCCATTCATACGGCGAGCGCGGCGGCGCCGGCGGTTGCGACGGTCTTGAGCCAGGCGACCCTTCCCCAGGACTTGCTAGGTCTCCTCGTGCCGGTGATGGCATTTCCGCTATATCTCTTTCCCCCGGCTCCCTCTTGAAATGATGAGGATCGGAAGGCCATTCTCCGGCTGGCGCACCGTTCCAGGCGCACCATTGCTGCTCTTCAAAGTTTTGGTGCTGCCAGCCGTACCACCCCCCTGCACCGTATTGACCGCCCTTGCCCTGGTACATGGCGAGCGGATTAACGTAATTCACCATGCTTCAATCACCGTCCGAGCATCGCACATACACTCGCTGTCACAACACTACCGTACCGTGTACCGGCGGGCTCTGTTACGTGCAACACACGACGCGGAATTTGACTCGACTGAGAGCGACTAGCGAGGTGAGTCGCGCTGGGCGAGCTCAGAGGTGCGGGATGCAAGAGAGGCGGAGGGCGGTAGCTGTACAGCCAATCAGATTACGCCAGCTCGACCCCGCCCTATATAAATTCTCCCACCGCGCACCATGCTATCATTTAATTTGCCTAATTAAAACAAAAATAATGGACACCGCCGTAATGAACCCCGAGTTCGGACTAAACATGACTAAAATATTTTTATTCTTTAATAGGTAAAACAAAAACTACACTATCTATTTATTAGTTACCTAGGTATAGTCTTATGTAGGAGGTATCTAAGTACCAACTTATCTTTAATCTATCTTACGTAATAAAAATTATACCTAGATCTGTTCATTTTTCGGAATGTTTCTTTTAGTGTTTCATTATTAAATATGATTTCAGCTTATATATGTACCTACCGACTGTACAAGATAATTTTATATGAATGTCATCTTATTAAGTAGGTAGTAGGTACGTAGGGTTTACATAGGTAGGTACCTACCTACTTAGGAAAACTTAAGTTGGTATATATGCTGTAGATGTTTTAGATATAGGTACCTACCTACTAAGTAGGTACTACCTGCTATGTAGGTTCCTACTTAGTAGGTGATCTAGATTGCAACCTATTAGATCATTTATATTTGTGCAGTCCTTAACAGCGTTAGGTATTAAAAGTAGGTTGATCGAATTAAAGTTACCTATGTATGTAATAGATACCTACATAGGTAAGTAGCTACCTACAACGCTAAAAAAGAATACCTACTTACCTAATAAAACACTTAGTTTCTAAAATACTTAGTCAAAATATTTGCTTAATAAATAATTAAACTATCTACCTAAGTAAGCAGATCTCAGATCATATCAGATATTTGCAATAGAAAACATTTTATTTAAAAAAAACTTACTCTAACCTAACCTACCTACCATAATGTTTTATGTAGGTACCTAGGCACGTATGTCTAAAATTACATACCCAACTAAATTATTATCTTTAAGCTTATACATTATCATTAATATGATCTTTCGGATAGAAAGTAAAAGATGGATGGGTAGGTACCTAAACTTAACTAGGTACCTACCTATAACCTATAAGCTATACCTATAGGTATATAAGCTATTTTCCATTTCTACATATGTAGGTATATAATAATGTTATTTATCTTTTTTGAAAAGGAGGAAAATATATCTTCTCGAGAAAAATTTATAATTACATACTAAGTAGGTATATCAATTATTTTATTAAATATCAAAATTAAAAACTAATAAAAAATAAAGTAAATTTGGAATCAATTAAAAAAGTATTTATGTACCTAATGAAAATAAACTTAAAAAAGCCACTCGCATATGAAGTGGTTTTCTTTACATGTACCTAGGTACCTACTTAACCAGATACCTCTTCTCTAATTCAAAGGAGAACTAATTGGCAGAAACCGAATTATTGGTATCTATTTACTTTATTGTACCTATTAGGTACCTAGGGGCTAGGGAAATGTTATGTTATCCCTTGTTTACAATTATTACAGTAAAAAAATTAAAATGTATTAAATACAAAGAAAGCGCAGTTAAAACTTTAAATAAATCCTTTGTTTAAATATGAATAGATTTAAATATCGTGTTATCTACCTATCCGAAAGTGAAGCGGCAAAATTTTAAAATCCGTTGCTGATTTTATGACGGGCTATAAAATAACCAGATCATCTTTAAATCTGACGGCATAACAACAAGGGCTTAAATAACAACTACAAGTAAGTACCTACTATTTAACTACGCTTTTACTTCTATTATTTTTTCGTCTATCTGCCGTTTGCAGTTTTACACAAGAATTTCTCGTAAGTAGATACAGTTGTTAGTAAATATCTAAGTGTACGTAACGAAATGAAGGTACAATTACATGATGAAGGTAGGTAACTACCTAATGCATATGTTGCTTAATAATCGAAAACATTCAAATAAAAATGTAACTAAACTATGAGCCTCCCAAAACAAAATCGTCGTCTTGTCAACGTAAATTCTCCTATTTTATCGACCTTAGCTAAGTTTAAATGTAGCCTATAGTAATTATCAATCATTAGCTAATAGGTACGTATTGAGCATTATAGGTAGGATTTCTTCAGTAGGTAGGTACTAAGTAGGTAGGTGAGCTTGTTCGCATAGGTAAGTATACTTACCTACGGATATTTACCAAGGTATAGGTAAATTTATAGGTAAGTACTATAGGTAGGTATATATAATTAGGTATGTTCATAGGTATCTACCTACTTATTTGCTCTTTAAGTCATATATCAGTAACCAAAGTTGATAATCATTATTATCATTAAAACTGCGAGGCGATTTTTTTATAAATTAGGTAAATACCTATAATATACCTACCTATGATCAAAGACCACACGACAGCCGACAGAAGACCAGTTGGTAAAATCACTGTGAGCATTTACCTAATGCAGGTTTTGAAGGAAGTTAACGTTTATTTTCTTAAAACTAAAATCGAATTTATAACATCTATCAATAAACATTAGGTAAGGTTAGCTACTTAGTACCTATTTGCTCAATTTATTTTGCGAATTTCGATCAAATCCATTGAGCCGCACGAGCAGCGTAAATAATTTACAAACAGCACTGCACTCACGTACTTTTGCATTTACCTATAGTATATTACCTACCTACTACCTATTGGTACAATATTATATATAATATATAATAATATGATGTTTAATATAGCGACTCACCATCGCTTTACTCGGGTTCGTCTCTACGTAAGTAGATACATTTTAACGGTTAGTATGAAATAAAGACTATATATTATAAGATAGTATATATTATAAGATATACATATACCTAAGAATTTTGAAATCGGATTAGTAGTTCCTGAGATTAGCGCGCTTAAACAAACAAATAAACTCTGCCTCTTTATAATATTAGTATAGATTTCGTTAATTTAATTAAGTCAAATCATAATTAAGTTATGACCGTTGCTGCAATATTTTATTAAAGAAGAAAAAAAAATCGTTCATATCATTGTACGCCTTTTAATGTCACTGCTTTCCTTTTTTGCACAAATTCCGTCAAAAACGTAATTAATACCTAATATAACAGGCTATTAAAAAAGGTCTTAATCAAATATGTAAGAATATGTAAGACTATTAAAAGGATGTGTATATGTGTGTATATTTGTGTGTACCTACTAAGTCTATAACTCGTTAATTCACAAGTAACATTTCACGAGAAAACACGTTATACTTAATACAAACCAAAAAAAAAGTTTTGTGATCAGAATTACTTGAAACTTGGTATGAATACTCTTCAGTACAAATTAATAAATATTACGTGTTTTACCATTTATCGAAATTCATCCTATAAGGTGAAAAAAGTTTGTATGAAACCTACCTTTTTAGAGATATTTTTGCAGTTTTAGCACGAGCGAAGAGGCGGGTTCTGCTAGTTATATATAAAATATGAATTTTATATAATTTGAAATAAACAGTTAAACATGCGCAGTTTGTTTGTCTGTATTGGCTTTATACTTACCTATATTTTTTATTAAATTAGCCTAGTTTCCATTTCTGGAACTTATGTTTGTGGATAGGTAGGTACTAGGTACCTACCTAATAAACACTTTATCGTCTGTCAATATTTGATATTTCAATTTAAAGGTACTCGGGAAATGCATATACCTAATAACGTCGGAAAATACATAGGTATACCATCTGCATAGGTAGATACATAGGCGTTGCGTGGACTAAGACGTGGGCGAAGTCGCATCAGCGAGGCCCCTTTTCTTTCGTTCCCAAGATCTACCCAATAGATCTATCCTATCAAAAATGCTTTGTAACGGCATACCTACTCATGATAGTGAAAAAATATAAATTATAAATATTAATTATATTGCGTAATATTTTTTTTACAAAAATAATGTTCTTCGGCCTTTTCTTAACAATTAGTTACTGAAGCTGACTAGAAGAATCAACACCGTCAATTTGACCACAAAAAGAATTTTGATTGCTAGTATTTTTTAAACTTAAGTTTTACCATGACTTTTATTTATTTATTAATTCTTAAGTACACTGTACAGATATACAGACTTAATACCATTAACATTGCCATTCTATTGTACTTTTCCTAACTTAAAACTTTTTATATTAAGGAAAATAAAGAAATACCTACTCTTTGGTATATGCGCAAAACGCATACTCATAGCTATTAATCCCTGACAAGTCTCGTATTCCGTCAATCTATTATCTAACGGTGCATTTTCTTAAAACGGGTTTAAAACTACAGAATTGAGATACAATTTTTTTTTGTCGTTCGTAGTTCATAGGTTCAGTTCAGAAATATAATAGTTTTATAATATCTGTGATTACTTACTTAGCCTCTTTATAGTCTGTGCATGTTATTTGTCAATTGTCATCTTTATTTGTCATCCATGATTGTCAATTGTCATTTTTAGTTGTAAATTCACTAAATTGTATCAATCCATGATTTGTAAATTTTTTAGTTAAAAGTTTTAGAAATAGAAACATTTGATGTTTCCTTTTATTCAAGTATAGACGGATTACCTTGTGCTTATTATTAGTATTCAATATCGTATTAACATTGATATAGAATTTAGTAAGACATAGCAATGTCTTCAGAAACTGCACAAGTCAGCTCATTGCCACTGCCGCCCTTACAATATATAAACTTTTATACTGACGAAAATGTACGCAGAAATAGGGCCCCTTTACCTCCAAGACCTATTCATGACTCTTATCAAATGTTTGGCCATACATTTAATGCTGATGATACCATTATTCGGTCCCTAGAGAGCCAGGTATAATGAATTGTTGTTTTACTTTTATATTTACATCTTTCGATCTCTAATACTTACATAGTAACATATTTATCATATATCTAATATCAAATATAATTTGTTATATCAGGGTTTCCGCAGACTGTATCCAATGCATTTTGAAAGACGACGAGAACTGAAGAAATTGAATCATTCTTTACTAGCAAACTTTTTAGATCTGTTAGATTTATTGGTACATTGTCCTGATTCTCCTAAAAGAGCAGAGAAGGTAGAAGATCTTAGCTTGTTGTTTATTCATATTCATCATCTGCTTAATGAATTTAGACCACATCAAGCTAGAGAAACATTAAGAGTTATGATGGAATTACAAAAACGCCAAAGAGTGGAGACAGCTATGAGGTAAAAATTATTTAAGACTAGAATTATTTTGATTTAAATTAATAACTAAAAGAATATGAAAAACTATTTATAAAGAAATAATATTTAAATATTTGTGGTAATTATTACTTTAATAGGACCCTTTACTAAGCTTGTATAAGAATTTATATGACAACAATATATTTATGTAAAACTTAGCCCCAATAATGCATGATAAGAAATTTTTGTAATACAAAAATTAATAAAGAATATCTATTCAATAACAAAATTATAATAATTCAAACTGTTGATATATTCAATAACAAAATTATAATAATTCAAACTGTTGATATCTTTAAATTAAGTCTTTAGAGATGTTTAGCTTCTAAAACAAGGCTAGAAATGTTGTTTAATCATCTGATAATATTTTTTTTTATATTTTCCAGATTTCAAAAACATTTGGACAAAGTTCAAGATATATTACAAAATGCATTACAAAGCTTACCAGATCAAAATGATTTAGAAACCAATTTCAAAGTGCCTATTGAGATTCTTGAACACATGGATTGCAGTCCTAGCGATAATGCCAATTCCGATCCATGTTATGAACTAGACAGGATCATGTGTAACATTGTAGATAACATGAGATAATTTACTTTAATAAAATACCCTTAAGATTCAAACTAAATTGTATTTCATTAATAGAACTACTAGTTGGATTTGATAAAATCTGTATTTATATGCTACATATTTATTGAGGAAAAAGACAGGTTACCTAACATAACATCTTTTACGTACATACACAACTATATGTATGTAATATATAAAGATGGTGGCACCCCTCTTTCTCTTGCAATATTAATAATATAACTAAATTTATTAACAGTATAAAATAGATAAACATATTATCACATGATCTTACTAATATATAGATTTTTGCTTCCTCAATAAAAGGGCTATCTAATGCAAAAATAATTTTTCAATTGGTTACTAACCAAGGTTCCTGAGATTAGCGCATTCAAACATACAAACTCAGCCTCTTCATATTAGTAAGTACAGATTTCATTACATTGCATTGAAGCCAAGAAAATAATGGAACTCAGACTACTAAAGAAACTTTTAATTTAGGCACATTCGTTTCATTTTGACGAATCGAATATTAGGCCTACGTAAATTCGGATTACCTATCCGTTTTAACCCAATATACCGTCAAGCCTTTAGCTTTAGATTAACAGGGCGTATTTCTCTACTTTCCATATACAATATAGATTAAACTTCTATGAGTACTACAAATGCCAATTTTTCATTTTTGTTTGTTGTACGTTTGTTACTACTTAGCGCTAAAAATGATTAACGGATTTCGGATTAAGATTAGTACACAGATGACTACATCCTTTATTAAGATTCTGAAGTCGAACAAGACGACTATGGACGTACCCAAACCATGCGAAGTTACTAAGTAGCTGTGTGAAGTAGTGTTTCTTACTTTTACTTTAATTAGGTGCTTTAATAAGTAAAACAAAAACATATATCAAAAAATCGTTTATTATTATTAATGATGAAGACAAATCTTGAATTATAATCCACAGGTAGTAACTCCTTTAATTAAAAAGAAGCCTGACAAATAAAATCTGAAAAAAAAACAACCCCTTGAAGGACGCCATTTTGCCGACATCGCCTGTCTGTTGACTGGATCTTTTAAAAACTATGTACAAAAAAATATATATTTAATAATACTTACCACCATATGAAGATAGCTGCTTTTCGTCATTCATAAATTTTTTCGTCTACTTTAATGAGAATAAGAGAATATTAACACATATTTAATGTCATTATTATGAGTCATAAATAACATACTTACAATTTCACAGAAGAGGGTGCGCGCTAGTTGCGATACTACAAATATAATATTTTATATATGTATATTTACCTTACTGAAGAAAAATTAATACTAACGAACGTATCTATTGGATGCATTTATAAACAAAGAGAGTAAATTTATGATGTCCCACATGTATCTGGAGAGCCACTACTCTAAAATAACTAATACTACTGTAAAAATAATTATATAATCATCAGCTCAGGATCAGCTGAAAGAAAACCCATGCAACAAAAACCAAATCAACGAGGTAGTTTCATAAAACTTAATCTGAATATGATTATCATATTATTTTGTAGATATATAATTAATTTTCCTTGATAACTTAAAAGCTTTTATAAGTTCAAGTAAAAAGTCCATAATCTTTTTCCCTTTGAAAATGTTCATGCTGGTTTTATATTTTTGTTATGGCATGAATGTTTAAAATTTGAGTACAAATTAAATATTCATAATTCATATTAGTAGCGCCTTTTAAAAGGAGCTCCACGGTTCCAATAATCCCTTCTACCATAACCCCTACCCCTTCCAGAGTTAGATCCCGAAAAACGACCAGAATTTGGTCTCGAATTGTTTAATCGTGAGCTGTATTTGCCAGAAGGTGGTGTATACATTTTAACATTTCTATCGCCACTACGAGAGCGCTTTTCGGGTGATTTTTGTTCACCATTGCCAAATGTAATGGGTCGGTGACGTTTTGACCCTGGCATTTGTTTTTCTCTTTCTTGTGGTTCATTGGAAGGTTCGACCTGAAATATATGAAACAAATTAATACAGTGCATCAAATAAAGATAATTGGTATTACTCAATAGCTTAAATTAATTTTATTCTCAAACAAAGACTCGAATGTTAAAGGACATGACAGAACTCTTCGGGAAGGGCACCCTAAGAGTCCATCTAATATATCATAGTGTAAACTTTCAAAAGACGTACTTCTTTTTCAGCCTTTTTAGACTGGAATGAAAGTTGCACTTTGCTCTTGAAGCTGGGAGGTGTGCGGAATATATCTCTTATTAAAGTGTTGATATTTGATGTTGTTTTTAAGGCTGCTATCTTTAATTTGTTCTCTTCGGTATTTGCATCTTCACCTTTCTTCCCCTAAAAGTAATAATGATTTATTTAGGAATCTTGATTAACATTTTACATGGAGTATTGTTTAGTACACAGGTTGTTGCAAGTTCAATTCCAAAACTGGTAAACTAATGTAAAGATATCTATCTATTCAGCCCCACTTAACATCCCACTGCTGGGCATGGGCCTCCCTTCAATACGAGGGTGATCAGATCATAGTCCACCATGCTGGCCAAGTGCAGATTTTCAGATGTAAAGATATGTCATGTCTGATTACGGAATTTGTACAATAAAGCTATACCTGAAGATTTCAACACTGATATAAAGCAGAGTTAATGGCCATTTAATATAAAGATGAAAATAGTGGATAATAAGAAAAATTGTACATGATACCTTTATCTATTTTTAAAGTTATCTTTTTAAATTTATATTTAGATCATAATGGGGGATATTAAAGTTTACAACTGAAGAAGCATTTATTGAGTACTAATTTGTCTAGTGGTCCACATAAGCAATATGGCTGCAATAGTCTCAGAGTAATATATATTTATTAGTAATTATGTTAAATTGGTGAAATAAAGTACCTGAGTAACTTCTTTAAGCTTTTTGATATATCCTTGAGTGAGCCTAGCAGTATATTGTAATCTTAGACGCAATGATTTTAGTCTTGTTGCATCTGCACCAAGTGCATCAGGAGCTTTCCTACATAGTGAGTGCAGAGCAAAAAGTGCACACTCAACATGTGAGAATTGTAATGACGGTGCTGTTTTTGTATCTTCAGGCTTACTTTCGCTCTCTTCTTTGGTTGCATTTTCTTCTTCTACTGGTGCTTCTGGTAGATAGTTCTGAAACAATATTACTTGGGTGTCAAAAAAGAAAATCATTTTAAGCATAATTGATTACAGCAGGAACATTAGCTATTTATGATTATAATCATATATTACATTATAGTTAATTTATATATGAACAAATGATTATTAGCTATGTAAAACATTAACTTCTATTTCTATCTTAATTTTTAAACCATAAGTATTGTTTATACTTATAAACCATAAATATATCACTTACCATCAGTACATCATAAACAATTTTTATTTTATCTTCCACTTTTTCAATTTCTCCACAATGTTCAGTAATTTCAGCAAAAGTCTTCAAAAGTTCTAGTTTTAAATCAGATCCTCCCCCCGATGCAGCAATATCATTCCATTTTTGTAGAACATGGTCACAGAATATATTCACAAATTGTGTTGAATCCACTTGAGCCTGTCATGGTAAAACAAACATTTAAAACTATATTCTTAGATAAAAATTAAACAAAAATATTCTCATCAATTATTCTTACATAAAAAGCTAACAATATTATGTAGACTTGTATTAGATATTTTACTATCTAATATTTAATATATATCATCTATACATATAATAAAGTTCTGAGTTGAGTCAAAAATATTAACAATTTTGGAAAACCTTATTGAAATAGTTAGAATTTGGTTTGTCTTTCTGTTTATCTGTTATAACAGATGCATCACGAGAAAACCATTGGATAGATTTTCATCATTGATCAAGGTCAATAATAGAATCCTTTTTACTGCGGGAAAATATTTAATTTCTGAGAAATTTATACTAAACGTTGCAACATAACTAGGCATGAACCCGAGCGGAGCAAGCATGAGTCTGTAGTTCAATACAAATAATGTTAGGTAATCAGCATAATTCTTGGACAGAAGTCTAACTAACAACCTCCTACTCTGAATATTGATATTTATTAAATAAAATGTGGTGATAATAAAACAAATTAGCACTCTGTCTCTATAGTCTGCAAGGATGAATGAATCGATCTTTGTTATTCTTTCAAACTGGAATGGCAGAATGGATCTTGATAAAATTTGATGCAGAGATAGATTATAGCCTGGAATAGCACATAGGCTACTTTATATCCTGGAAAAATTTAGTTCCATGCGATAATTTGTTTTTGTTTTCCACTAGGGACGAACCTGAAGTAAAGCGAGGGAGAGTCGGTAGTATATAATAAGTGAATATGAATAGAATAATTATGTTACTTTGATTACACTAAAGAATTTAATTCCTACCATGAATAAAAGTGAAGCAAATTATATAAATTTATTCTCACCGTAAATAATGGCAAAGCATGTTGTGTGCATTGAATTAATCTATCAACATATTCAGGATCTTCTGGATGCCAATCTTCTGGTGTGAAAGCTAGAGCAGCTATCAGTTGAGTAAGTTCTTTCTTCCCAGCTGGAGTTTTCCCTAATCTTGACCAAGTTAATAAATCCATAATATGTTCAAATTCTTCAGCAACAGAGTCCTAAAATTTTATATGTAGGTTACAATAACTTATTTATTACTTCACAGAAAAAAATATTAAACATTTGTTTTGAATTATAACACCTATTACATTATGTTTGATGCACAAAATAAAGCCCAATTTATAAATTCTAATTTTAAAATATTTCTCTTTATATCTTTTTTTTGGTTATCAGTATTACTAGAGTGAATTGAGCAACACAGAAAAGTAAAAAATATGCAAACAATATGAAACATCTCTTTAATGACTAGGTTAAATATGGTAATTTAGTTTAGTCTACAACATAGTAACAATAACCTAAATATGCATTTGCATACATAATCAGATCTGTAATAATCATATTTTAAATTTACCTATAGTGTATTATACAGGTACTGCTAAGTTTTTAAACAAAATTCTAGTTTAAAGATGTTCTTTAGTCATTAGGCCCAGAGTAAAGATTTACTATGGTAATCAATGTTTATAAAGCATATAATTTACCTGTAAGATTTTCTTTCCTTCTGCTATAATAAGATCTTCAGCTTCTTTATCTATAATTTCTCTTCCTAATAGTTTTACTTTTGTAGCTAAAAATTTGATACACCTTTCTCTTACAACTTCATTGGGAACTTCACTATCTGTACTCTGATGAATTTGGGAGAATAAACCTGTTAAAGTGCCTTTAGGGTCATTCTTTAAAATAGCAACCAAAGAATTTGTAACAACATTAATTTCTGTTACATCTTCAGACTGCAAGAGTTGTGCTAATATATCAGCAATTCTTGTTGTGTGTTCTTTATTGTTTTTACACATTGAAGGTAAGTCTTTTATAGCTTGCTTTCGAATCTGAAACAAAATTTTATAAAATTTCACAATTAAATTAATAATCAGGCCTTGATCTATATCTATATTTAATATAATAGTAATAGGGTTATAAAGATTTCTTTGAGACATAAAAAAATAACAATTACAAGTATATTAAGGGTACTACAGCATATATGAACGTACCCGTTGGGCGAAGCACCGTGCTTCGAACTACCCAACTAGTATTTTATAAAATAGGCATAGAAAGAATATATTTACCGCCACGTCATCGTCCTCACACAGATCAAATTGCGCTTCTATAGCTTGGTCAGATAAATTTGGAAAGCTGTTGAAAAATTTTGCAATGAACTGTGATGCTAAACGTTTTTCTTTATCAGAACCTTTCACTGCAGCAAGTATTTCCATATATTCCTTTTCATGCTGTAAAAATAAAATTAATTGTTTAGAATCTATATAAATAAAGATAAAAATACATAAAATATTTGTGATACTATGGGACAGCAAAAATCACATTATTTAATGCAACTAGGTTACCTTAGAAATGTCATCCTTGGCATCAGCAAGAATACCGTAGTTTTGATATAATTTTTCAATGTTATCAGAAGACATTTTGGAATTATTTCACTGAAGCTCTCGTATAATTCTATACTTGAGTAACTCGTGGCGATTACACCACAATTCGACGAAAACAATATTAATGACGCCGATCGCCGACGCGCACTATTCAGTATTCTAGGGACTAGGATAAATATGTAGCAATATACTCTATGGGACTAGGTTACATACTCTATGGTATTCTATATTCACAAACTTTATAGTTTATAGAGATGGTACCTACCATAGAGTATATTGCTACATATATAAAGTACCTACACATACAATTGTATTCGGATTCCAATTTCCACAGATTATTTATGTAGCTTTTGTAATAGGCATGGCGAACTGAGATCGATTAATCGATGAATCGATTTTTTGGGTCAAAAAGATTAGACGATTTTTTAAATCGATACATAGTACTGAATCGATCCAGTGAATCGATGTTTCACCCTACAGAAGCTAGCTTTAATTTTTTCTGTTTTGATAAGAAATAAGAACCTTAAAATTATTTACAATCAGTTAAATATACCCAAACACATGTAAAGAAATAAGTTTTTCACTTTATTACTCATAATATCGCGAGATGGCTATGTGCTCCGTTTTCTTTGCCTCATCTTAATGGATAAAAGAAATTAAAAAAAATTTGGGTAGAGCTGTATTGGGTCTGGAGGTTAGAAGTAAGGAGGACCGTCTTGTATGGGGGATTAGTTGAAAAAGTGTCCATTTCATTTGTAAACAGCAAATAATTGTTCGAACACTCACCGAAATAGCGCTAGTGTAGTAATGGAAATAATAGGAATTTAGCAGTTATAAACAGAGTGAAGTGCGCTGGGTTAAAAATTTTAATTTTTTTATTACTTCTGTAGTTAAGAAATATGCAGTATTTAAAATCTCAACTATTTACGTAGTCAACTGTAATTTGCGAAATAATAACCTGTGAAACTCCGGAAATAACGTACAAATAGTGATTTGTTTTTTTATTAAATTTTGTTGATACAACTTTGTTATTTTGATGCTTTTATTGTTGTTAATGTAAAAAGAATTTCTTTCCTTTTTCAATTTAGTATCCTACTCTAATAATTTGTGGTGCCCCTTTTAAAATTCTTCCACTTGCTACTATAGCACCACTTTAATTTGCTCCCTTTCAACGGACACTTTTTAATATACTGAGATGGTCCTCCTTACTTCTACCCTCCATAATTGAGACAAACGATGATGAGCTGTTTTTTTTTCAAATACAAACTCGAAAAGTTAATTAAAAAAGATCGATTTTTGAGAAATCGATTTTTTAGACCTCGATTTCATGTGAATCGATTTAAAAGTCGATTATATTCTGGAAAAATACCCATCCCTATTTTGTAATATTAAACACAGATTAATAAATTATTTACGTCACAGAGTAATAACAAATTTAGAAACAAGTGTGTGATCATCCATGGATAAAACTATAAAATAATAAGTTTATCTTAACTTAAAAAAAATCAACAAATAATTAAAACAGTAATTGACACTAATACACAAAACTTTTAGCTTTTTTATTTTGTTTGTTTAAATACGCTTATCTCTAGATCTGCCATAGACGGACAATGTACAAACACATAAAGCCTATTTATTGAGGAATGAAGGTAGACTGTATTATCGTCACTTTTCAATTTGTATGAATGGACAAATAAATAGGGGTTACATACTCTATGATATAAATGTGGTGTCTCATCATTGGGATCAAAGATAAATTAGTTCAAATAAATGTCTACAGATGACATTTTATGTATCAATTTGTTATTGAAGTTTATGTAAAATTAGAAAAAAATATACTTCATTATGCTATATTATTAATGGAAGATAAAAAACAAGTTATGTGCTATATATAGACTAGTGGCTCCAAAATATATTGTAGAATTTATAATTTAAAACATTTATATTTCAAATCAATGGATTAAACGGAATAACTAAAACAATATATTTAATTTAATCTGGATCTCAATAATAAAAATAAACTGAAGTGTAAACAATTCCGAACAAACACTTTAGACAGCTGTAATAGTGACAGTTCGTGAATAAGTAGCTTTAAAACATGTTGTCTATAAATGTATTGTGATTTCCGAATAACTTTAGAATAAAGTTTAGAAGTTTTAAAAGTTATTGTAACAAAGTTTAAAATTACACAGTGTTAACTGATAACATAACATTCATATTAAAGTTTTCATTAAACTCAATAAGATTGCTAGTGTGCCGAATCTATTATGATCATCACAATATAAATCTAAGCAGGTACTATGTTGTTTCAATATAGTTATAACTTTTCAAGTAACTATGTAGCCGGCCCTTGTCTTCTATTAAAGATATGTTCTGTATGTAACTAAACAAATAGGAAATTAAAAATATTTAGTATAAATTAATTGAAATATTTTGGTAATAATTCAATCCTAATAAAATTTTAGGAAAAATGGCTAGTAATGAAGAAGATGAAGTTATACGTGAAGCATTTATGATAAAGAGGTCGCAAAATAAGAAAATATTTACCCCAGTGAATTATAAGGAACGATGGTTTGTGCTTACAAGGAAAGCACTAATATACTATGACTCTGATGGCCAAGTAAGAATAAATTATTACTTTTTATTATAAAAGCTCATATTTTGTAATCTTAATATTAGTACATAAACCATCAAAGATATTGTGAGTATTATATAGAGTACTAATGGCTCACCCTTCTTACATTCGGGTTTGTCCCTAGTGAAGAACAAAAACAAATCTATTCCACAGGAACCAAACATTTTCCGGGACAAAAAGTGGTCTATTTGCTATTCCAGACTGTAATCTATCACTTTGCCAAATTTCATCCAGATCTGTTCAGGCATTCTAGCGTGATCGAGTAACAAACATCCATCAATCCAAACTTTCACATTTTTAAAGTAGGTAGTAATATACACATTTGTTAATTTTTTTTTATAGCTAATACAATTTTGCTTAATTTGACAGCAAATAATGAGACTTGATTATTAGTTGCTTATAAGGTAGATCAATATATGTCAGGTTGAGAAAAAAAAACTATTTTAATATTAAACAAAGTATAAGTTGCAAATGGAAGTTTATTTCATGAGTTTATATTATACATTATGCTACTGCAATCTAAGAAGCATTACAGTTAAATATATTAATTGTTATATACTTAGCATTTTCAACTACCAAATCTCTTAGTGTCTAATAAAATTGATTTAGGTAATAAGTTTAACTTCAAAATGAGACTTTTCAATAAGACTTGTTTCATGTAAAGGACTAAGCCAAGAGTTACATAGAAAATTTTTTATAGTAAAAAAATGTTGTATAAATTATTAGAAAAATGGTCACATTTATTTTTAATATTTGCATACTATTTTATTATTTATTTGCCCATATTTAATAATTGCAACTTGAATAATAACTCATTTTTATATTCTTTTTTGCCACAATGGACAGGTGGACTAAAAAAATTACCAGAGGTAAGGAATCATATTTTTGACAATTAATTCTCATAAGTTCTATGATAATTTATTGTCAAAATTCATTCTTTATTATGACCTAATCTTAGTGTTGGCATATTTAGGTGATATTATAAAGCAGAAGTGACTATTTCTATTTTTTGAATGTACTTTGTCAGAACTACATACTTGGCAGAACACAATATTTCTTTACATTTTTTGGCCTATATCAAGGAAGGGTGTAAAAGTTATTGCTGTTTGATGCTAACCCCATAGCAGTGAAGATTTAGACAAGACAACAACAAAGACAGATTATAATACAAGCAGAGCTGCAGAAAAATGCTAGGGCCCAATAAATATCCAAATTACAATTCTATCTAATTACTATATCATTATTGTACATTTCCACAAATTAAGTTAAGTATAGAAATGATAAAATGCATGTATTCACACTAGTATGTGTTTAACATTAAAACATGACTTTATAATGAATAGTTTTAGAAACCCTTTGCGTGAATCTAGCTACATTTGGCTAATTCTTATGATTTCTTACACCTCCAGGTTAATTTCTAAGAAATTAATTAACATATAGAATTATTGACAATAGATTTCTTAGAAATATATTAAATAATACGGATTGTTTAATATACATATTATATTTAACAAGCCTTGTCCTTTTTACCAAAAATGAGCTAAAAAGGCATATATATGCGATTTACTATCTTATTTTTTTATGTGTAAGTTAATTAAATTTAAATATTCAATTGAGTTAATATAATATTCTGTGAATATTTTAATCGACTATCGTAAGAGTTCGAAAAACGCAGTCTTTTAATGTAGAACAAACGGATGGACCGACAGCGACGACGTTATCGTGCACGTGGCAGAGTGGCACTTCCTACTACGTCACAGGTCAGGATTTCGATTTATAAAAACCACGAGCTTATATCAACTCGAGATGCATTTGCTTTTCTGGACTAGTACTGCCTCGTTGGTCTAGTTACTTGCATGTATGGCGGCAAATCGTTAGGTCCTGGATTCGGATCTGGGATCGGGCCAAATAGTAAGCTCTTTATCTTAGTCTTGCGCTTTATCTCTTACCGGTCGTCTCGAGTTGTCAAACGACGGAGAGTTCCCTTGTGTCTGCGCACACACTTATGCACTATAATATGTCCTGCATGGTTACTCTTAGCAAAGGTGCCTGACCCGCCATCAATAAAATCAACTATGAGGACATTTTTTTTTAAATAAAAGTTTGAAAAACTTCCTACACCTAAATATTCATTACTATGAAAAAAAATATAAAAAAAAAAAAATATAGAGACTAAACGGTATTTGTAGCTCTCGCTGGTAATGATGTCGTAAAACCGTATTGAACTTTTTGAATGCCCAAATGAAAATCGGGAGAATTGTAAAGTGTAGAAGAAAATATATTATAAATGTATTTACGGCCAAAATTAATAATCTCTCTTACGATTGTTAAAGAACGTTTGTGTGCTAAAGGCTTGTACAATAAATGATTTTATAAAAGATGACACACCTTGGGAATGAAATGATGGCCTCCAGGCTACTTCAACTTGATAGAAATAGTGTAAATTATAATTTTACTTTAAAAAAAGATAACAAGTTAATATTAGTCCCGCTGAGTTTCTTTCGCCAGTTCTCCTCAGGTCTGAGACTTCTTCTTTCCGAACTGGTAGTAGACTCATGACTTACAGAAAAAAATGTAATAATTTAATCCTGAATAAAATATTTTGAATTTTGAATTTGATTACTTGACATAATCTGCTCTCAATACATGATATGTACTGTGACTGTGTAATATATATTTTTTCTAGTAAGCCAGGGAATCAGACACTTAGACGGGTGTTATGTTTGGTAATTTTTGACAAGGATTAGCCAGTGTACAATATTTCTTAACGAAACCGAAGGTGCATTACTATGCAATTTTGAATCGACACTTTGGTAATTTCCGTTAAAACATGATTTATTTTAGTACATATTGAAGAAAAAAAATAAGAATTTATATTTTTTTTAATTAAAATGAGAAGATCATTACCTAATCAATAGAAAAGTGTATTCAGAAAGTTATTTTAATTAAGTATCTAATCTAAACGTAAACCTAAGAAAGATAAAAAGCAAAACTTTCCAAAAACCATTTATCTGTGAAAGTGTAATTTTGAGATATGTCTTTGGGACCCTACAATGAGTTTCTAATATTCTGAAAGAGGGTAAGCACACGCATGCGCGATTTGGGCGTGTCTGCCTCCCGGAGAGGCACCCGGCAGTCTTGCACCGCCGGCCGTTCGTCCGTCTGACTCTCACTCTACCCGGTAACAATATTTAATTACTTTTCAAAATGCTTATAAAATATTACGCGCTTTAATATTTCCTATTTATTAATATTAAATCATACACTATATAAAATACATTTAAAATCATTTATTGACATGTTATAACGTATCCATACTCCCATTGAACCCACGCAAAACGACTCCTATAGATACAATTCCAAAAATGGTCCAGATATTTTCGAGTTTAAGTTAATTGATCATGGTGAGCCTTATTTTAAAGTTAATTCCTCTTTTCTTGTTATAGGTTTATTGCTATTCATAAGACAGTGTTGAATTAATACACGTCTGCGATTTGAAGCCATTAGCTAATTATTATCGTCCTTATGCAGCCATCTGAGCGTAGGCAATTCATGACACAATGCCTTGGTATACTCATTACCAATTTTCCGATGGAATTCTAATGATTGTTTGTGGCTTCTTAATCTAGCATCGAAAAATTGCTTTAGTGCTTAATTTATTTTTGACTAATTAATAAAAAATGGCAGTAGGTACGTGGTTTTTACTTTTGTTTTTAAATGTTATTTTTTTTAGTTTTTGTGTATACCTAAATATTTTTTTTTCTGATTATACTGGTGGATGGCGTTAATAATAGCGACCCAGTTTATTAAATTGTTCAATTATTACCTTTTTTATCTATTTTTTTTTGTATCTAGGTACTAAAATTTCAATAAATCTTTATATGTATAAAATATTCGAACGATATAACATATCTATTATATAGTTTTAAATTAGATTTTATTTAGTTTCAAGATTATATTTCGACGGTCTGAATCTTTTCAATAACAGTGATAACAGAATGCATCACATTCATTTTACAAAACATTGCCTTTGAAATAAATAAAGTTATTAAATATTATTACACACTTCGATCACTCGTGACAATAAAGGGCGCGCAACCCTCATTCTTTAATGTATGTGTAGTCACGCCGCGGCTCCTATGGACTCTCACTGAGCGGTTAAAATGAGAGCCCTTCGCGACGTTCTAATTGTTTGTAAAAGGCTCCCCCTTCACAGCTACACTATTCTTCTCACTAACTTAACTAAATAACTTATGACGCTTTTGAAAAATATATCGTGATTGCTCTTTAACAATTGTAGCAAAAAAAAATTCTGTACTAGATAAGTTTTACTTTATGTAAAGGTTTTTGTAGGGTAAAGTATAGATATTTCTAATGCTTTTTTTTTATAAAAAAAAACTAGCATTGCCCGCGGCTCCGCCCGCGTTCAGATGACCAAAAACTAAATTCTTAGGTTTTACATATTAGTATACTCTTACGTTGCAGTTTTTGTATTTTTTCTCAGAAATGAGACATTTTCCCGTGGTAAAAAGTATCCTATGTGTTGACCCAGCTATCACCATACCAAATTTCATCAAAATCCCTCCAGTGGTTTTTCTGTGATGCGGTAACCAAAAGCAAAAGACAGACAGACAGACAAAAATTTTAAAAACTATAGATTCGGCCTCTGTATCGATAATAATGTCTATTTGAATAAGATTTTCCAAAAAATATTTAATGTACAGATTTGGCTTAGTCACAATTTAATAATATCAAGTGTCATAAAATATTTTTACTTGTAGGTACTAACTAGGTAGGTAGTGTACACATAAAATGTAATTTATGTGTAAAGTTCCGATAACTTCATATTGCCTTACGAAATTATCATTGATAGACATACGAATTAACGCGAGGCTTGTTTTATTTAAATACTTGAATAATTGACTGATTAAAATAAGACGCGTTTTTGTTTATAAAATATAGTGAATAGTGTATAAATAACCTTTGAATCCTGTCTTAAAATTTTTGAGCAATGGCGAGCGCAATTAAAGAAATTTGAGATATAAATGTAGAAAATATATAAATTTATGACTTCTAGCTTATCCGAAATGCCCTTCAAACGAAAAATGTCCAACAAACATCCTTGACCCAGTTCTTTTATGGGTATATGTTTTTATAGTAGTTATTGAATAATGTAGAGATACCATAGAGTTGTAGAAGGCACGCTTAAATAAATTTTAAAGTGTTTAAACTGCAAACTATCGCATTGCAATCGAGTGCCGCAATCAGAGCAGTTTCCTGTTATTCAGTCGATCGTCGTCCCAATAGGAAATCCTCTTAGGCTTTATTACGTATCAAGCTACTGCAGGAGAGATCAGTTTGTTACACCGTTTGATTGAGTCTCTTAGTCAATTCACATATTTGGTTTTATGTAATAATAAAAAGTTATGGTAACATTTTCTAGTGGAATTTGTGACATAAGCAATTATTCGTTTTATGATATTAAGTTTCTTATCAAATCTAAACTTGTTCAATCTTTATTTTTAAGTAGTTTTAGTTTTTCAATATATCATTATCTCATATGCTAGGAACTGATTACTGACAGCATAAAACTGGTTTCCAAGTCATTGACTTTGGCTGCAAACCCTCGAAGTGTGCCATACATTCACTTAAAATAAAATTGATTAATAAAAATGGCGATATTTTTTTTTTGCTTTTTGAGAGAATACGTAAATTCAAAATTGACTTTTTTGTATTACCTATATAAAAGTGCTAATAATATGGCACATAAAACTAGTTATCGATTTACCCGCATGAAAACCTCACACCAAACATATAATAAATACTGTAAATTTTTTCTACCAAATCTATGTAATATTTTAGCGCAATATTTTAAAATTTTCCTCTGTTCCATTATAAAACAGGAAAAATGAACGAATTGTTTCTAATTGTATTTTACTGACGCAGTAATTCAGCCCAGACTTAAAAATTAATATAATAATATAATTATAAGTAGTTACATGTTAAACTCTGTTATGTGTTTTCGCAACAGAAAGTTAGTAGTTAGAACTTAAAAAATATAAAATATATTGAAAGCTATTTTAACTGTAATTAATTTATTATAGCTAAATATGATATTTTTGTATAATTAGCTTTTGTAATGTTATAGGTATACAAATTACATACCTAATAAATATTTTGTCAAATACTTTTACACCAACATTTATAATAATTATCAAATATAATAAATTAAATTTAATACTTGATTTTTTTTTGTTTTATATTAAAATACATCCATGCTCGGTTTTACATTGTTTCAGGCCGTTTACAATATTCCTTTTAAAAATGAAATCTTTGTTTCAGAAACGTAAAGAGCGCGGACGAATACCAACAGATGCTATTCATACAGTAGAGCAAGCTCAGCTAGGAGAGTTGAGTAAACAAATACTAGACGACAACGAGAAGAGTCCTGCCTACAGGTATCCCTTCCAGGTAACGCATTTAAAATACAGTGACACAGCTATAAATACGAAATCGCTTTTTCTTTTGTGTTATTTCCGGAGAATGCAGTTATGCAGAATGCAGTTAAACTCTGCTTTTGGGTCGTTATTTTAACCTGGAATTCCTTTGAAATGAAACGTCTCTTATCTCTGTTTTACATTTACATACACATATCGTTAGGAACGTAGTATCAAGCATGGACAATTAAGACGAATGTTGGAATTCTTTATAATGGGGTCAAATTTGTAGATTCAAAATTATTTAATATATATATGGATACATGAATGCCAATGGTTTTTTATATTGTTACATTTTATGGTGTGATTTAATAATATCGTTGCTAAGTTCCATTACAATCGGTTAGTTCTTCTTTCCCATACAAATTAAAAGTTATCAGATTATCAAAATTAAGATGATTTTGTTGCAAAAACTTATATTTATTATTTGGTTAATCAATCAGACATTAAAATGTAATTATTTTATAAAATGATATCCGTTAGAGTTACGCAAGTCGGAGACCAAAATTGGTAATTGATTGAGATAATTCTGTTGAATTTGATAGATATAATTAAATTGCTGATAGCAGGCAAGCAGATACAAATGAATATGTTCTGAATAGATTTTTTTTCATTTAATTTTTTTTTCATTGCTTTTAATGATGTAGCCGCTAAATACTAAATAGTACAGATTGTACTCAGGTGGGCTACACGGAGCAAAACACGGACTACACTCTATACCTAGTAGCGCGGGAGCATAGTGATCGATTGAACTGGATTCACGAAATAAGAACTGGTAAGTCTTAGGCGGTATATTTTACTTATAGTTTTAAGTAAATATTTATTACAATGAAATCCCTTTCGAATGTGTCACCGTGTTCTATCATTCATAACATATTGCGGTTTCGAAACATTGCAATAGACCGCAGTTGTCGCTTGAGCGCACCCTGTAAATTATCCGCACAGTATTGACATGTACAACACCAAATCCTCCGGTGGTCGTGAGTTTTTTTTTTTAATTAAATTAGTTCCAATTTTGATTGTTAAAAGAAAAATAATCTTATTCCCATTAATAATTATTTATTTAACTGAGCAGTGTGATTAATATTTTGTTTTACCAAATGTAAAACTTTACCTTTATTACCTATCTACTTTTTATTTTTAACCATCCACTTATTTTTATGTTGTTTTTATTTGAAATATTTCTTTATCCTTTTTTATTACAACGATTTTGTTAAAATTAGAACATACATAACTTGAATGTGTTTTTTGAGCAAGTTTAAACAAATCTATACTAATAAATGGAGAGCCGATTTTTTTGTTCGTTTATACTGCGATAACTTTTGAACCGATCGGAATTATACTCATACCATAAGATGCAGCGTTTTTCGGAGAAGGTTTTAGTATATGATATGTTGGTGATTAATGTACTATGCGGGCGGAGCCGCAGGAAAACCCTAGTTATATTCATAAAACAATTTCCGTTTTAATTTAACGACTAGCCTACCTTATAAGTGCTGTGTAATATTAATAAATCATGTTCCTTGTTTTCCGAGATTGACTAATATTCTTTATAGAAGTATTATGCAAAGATTAAAAATATTTACGAATATGGTAATATTTATGTATGTCAGTTGCATATTTAAAAATTCCCTCGATTTTTATTTAAAATTCTTTGGACTTGACACATTCACAACGTTGCAATAATTGATTTGTGAATTTTAATCGCTTAATTTAAATTTTCAACACAATAATAAATAAAAAGCCTTTTATTTCTTGCAAGAGTAACAAAAGTAAACAAACAATTAGTTGAAGAAAAGAAGATAGTGCAGTAATAATATAATGTAAAAATAAATAAGTGTATATATTGTTTTTTTTTTTCTTTTTTTTTCAACACAATACCCATGTAATATTTTAGCATGTCGATATAATTGCTCGAATCAGTAGCACGTCTGTATAATTTAATTTTATAATTGTCTGAAAAATGTAGTAAGTTGTGAATTAAATCACTATTTTAAGTATGAAGCCATAGTTATACAGGGGAATGTTATTATCTAGTGTGTATATCAAATACACGTCGCGGTCGATACCACCCGGCGGTGTGGTCGGCGCGTCGTTGGGTGTGTTGTGACGCGGAGCGCCGATCCGCACCAGGTTGCGCGCTCGCCGCCGTCTGGCCGTTGCCGGAGCCCGACCTAGAGCTCATACTGCAAGAGCATAAGAGCAACGACGTTTTACGTGAGTAATAACCCTTTTTTCTTTGAACTTTTTTTGAGATTTTAGAATGTTCAGTTTTTGTGAGTACATAATATATTTTTTGTAGATGTTGTAAGAGATAGGTTGTTTAAATTAAACTTCTACCTATACTATTATACAAGTTCTTTTGAATCGTCGATGTTAAGATAATCCAGGTAGTAAATCCGCGAAGAAGCTACGACTCGAAAGTGCTCAGCAGTTATGCTGTGATGGCAGTTCTGCTAATATAAAGTAATTAATAAATTTCTTAATATTATTAACTTTCGCTTTATTGACATAATTAGTATCTATCGTTCACTATGACATAGCCGGTTAATGAGCGCAATCAATACAGGTTACGCTTGTGTTGCGATAAAGACTTGCGTAACTTTTTAATGTACGAGTATCGCAGTCAAAAAGTTATATTTAATCTTTCCAAAGCCGTGCTTAAACCGACGAGCAAAATATTAATTGAGTTGATGCTTTAACTATGTATATATGTGTATGTAATATGTATATTAATAATATATATATATATATATATGTATATATGTATAGTATAACTTAAAACTTTGGATATTTTTATTTTGATTATAAGCTAAATGGAAATGAATGAAATGTGAATATCGTTCTAATTTTTTACATACAAAAAGGTTTCGACATTAATTGCACAAAAAATGTTAGTAACCCTTCGCATAAGACAATGTAAATGGGCTGGGCCATAGGCCGTAAATTAAATTTATATTTTTCCTTAGTATGGCCCGTTTGGGTGAAATCATTGGGCAGAAACTAGCCTTCTCTCGTAAGCAAGAATTCAAAGCTTCCGGTGAGTATTTGTTAGTGCAATGTGGTGTGATAGTGAATTGCTAAAAATACCCATAAGGTAACTAACACATTAGCCGCTTACAGATATCGTGTAGATTATTAGTGAATGTTGTTAAAATAATGATATATGATATACTATTTCACGTTTCAATGTAACTTTTACTCTAAAAATATTAATAAGATGTAGGGAATTGTTAATAATAACCTTATAGAAACTTGTTCAAGTATGAAAAATAAATTAAACAAACAAGTCAGGTATCTTACAAAGCAATTTAAGCAAGCAACGTACAAAGTAAGAATACCTGGAAAATAAATTGTAGTAATAATTTTACTCGAGAAATACCATTCATTTAAAATAACATTTTTCTGTCGTTGCAAAGAACTTATTGAAACGAATAAAGCCCACGGAAAAATTATTTCTTAGAAAAGTAGGTTTTACTTTATCGTGAATATCTTTTTTTTATAAAGGATTTTTCAAGTCGATTTCCTATTTTTCATTGAATGCTATTCCGTCTTTTTAATTAATAGGTACATAGCAACGAATATGTTTTTGCTCCAATATCTCCAAAAATTACATAATGTGCATTACATCGTCATGCCGTCTGTTTTGTTTGCAAGCAAAACACAAAACACACACACACAAAACCAAAATATTGTAGAAAACGAAAGACGATGCTATATTACAGTTGATACACTTGAACATAGAAAATGAAAATACTCAAATTCTTCCAATAACGAATTATTAGGTCATGATAATTGATTCGCTACAAAATGTAACATTCATACATCTGGTTCCTATCAACTGGTTTGATTTACACTTTTATTGCTCTTAAGCAAGCTTATTAGTTATTTGGTAAAAGATTCAAAAACATAGCGGTACTTCTTTTACGATGTTGTTTGTTGCACATCCTCTGCAGTAAGGAAAAGTAATCTGTGATGAGTAATAGCTGAAGCAGTACTCAACTCAAAACCTGATTGACATACGGTCCCATTTTTTATTCTTCACTTTCATATTTGAAAGTGAAATGAGCATCGTTTTCGTATCTGAATTATGTAGCTACCTACTTATTATCTTTCATGTTAAAAGTATCCATATTGTGATATTAAACTAATATGAAATTATTTTATTCTTTGGACTATAATTCTTTGATGTATTGTTTATAGTAAATATTAAAAAAAAAAACATATAATTAATTCATGTCTAAACAGCTGTAGTGTAGTATTAAAATAGGACTCTATGCAATCTACAATAGAGTATGTGAAGTGTGATAGAGTATATTTAATTCATTTGCATCTGGCGGATTTGTTGTCATATGACGTTTTTTGTTCATTTCATTCTAATAAAGTTTACCATAAGACTAAGCGAGAAAGCATGTGATTTCGCTCACGCCTCGAAACCTGTATGTAGGCCGACTACGATCATCTTTTCTGCTCTCACTCGTCTTGCCGTTGTAAATCCATGTTTACCATGGAACATATTTCATAATAGTAAGAGGTTTAGTGCGTGGATATCAACGTTGGTTAATGCGCTATTAGATTAACCCTTCATATATCATCAAAAATATTAATTATAAATTTTTATATTGTATATTTTTTTGAATAAGTATATTTTCAAACGAACTATTATGTTATCCAAAAATTTAGGGAACACTAAATAAAATGTCGATATATCAAACATGTCTTAATAACATTCATTAACTTTAATGTGTTCTTTGAATCGCTAAAAACCAATAATAAATGACCGCAGTACGAGTATCTCTATTGTGTATCAGGCTTTAGCTTCGACACGGTACATTGACACGCCAGTCGGCAATCGGAGGTGTCGTGTGCGGACGTCCGGTCGTTTTAATTATTCTCATGTTACAAACTAAGTCCGAAAACGAACCGATGGTTACTAAGAAGAAGTCGAAAATACCATGTCTCTCGCTGTCGTCCTTTCTTCCAGCCTTAGAGGGTACTGTACACTTGGAATGACCTTTTTTGTGGCCTCGCAGCCACCGGTTGCGTTTGCGTTCACTCGTTGCACTCACTTTCTTGTCTTGGTCAGGTGTAATGTATTGCGTTTGTGTAACCCACAGTGATTCGGATTTCAGTTTTGTGGTAAAAACAGTGCTCAAATTTTGGTATGGAAAAATTGTATTGACAGCTATGCGAAACTTTCAAACTTCCTTATTTTTTTGCGGCAGTACACTACGATTTGCAGCCGTATCATGTTTTTGCAATGTAAGATTCTAAATATAACCGATAATTTGCAAAGGTTTTTTTCTAACGCATAAATATTTACATATATTTGGTTTTTTTTTTTCTTGTATGCTTTTTAGTTTTTTTGTTTATTTTTTCTGTAAGTAATTTTTAAAGAATATAAGATAACACTCGGTCTTATGATATCTTCATTAATTAACCTGCATAATATATATAAATATATTCAATGAAAGTTGTATCTGGCTTCATGCCCACACATTATAGTTAAAATTACTTTCTCTGCTAGTTCTTATAGCAATACCGCTGTTATCACTTTCTTACCTTAACTTACCTTAACTTATTGGTTTTAACTGTACTTTAATGATATCAACTTACGACTTTTACAAGAAATCATAAGTTAGATATATAGAAAACATAAATGCATTAAATAATAAACTAACGATAGAGTTTTATTTTATATAGTCATCAAGTACAAACATAATATTATATATATATATATATATATATATATATATATATATATATATATATATATATATATTACATAATACTGTATTAATAAAAAGATGTTTTGTGACGTAAAATAAAACGTGTATGTGTACTAAAATCAGTTTAAATATGGATATTGTCACGCAATAGTAATTACGATATGACCATAAATGAGTGTGAGTACAAGTTGGTGCTGACACATTTTCAATAACATTTTAAGTTAAGCTCTACATGGTTATAAACCAGCTTTACCTACATGTGCATATTTTACTATAACTTAGTATTTCAATGTGAAATGTGAATACTCTATTTGTTGATTCATTGTAATATGACAAAAATTCAACACATATTTCAAAGATAAACAAGTATAAATATGTTATTATCTAATATATAAATATCTCTTGTCACGGTGTTTGTGATCGCACTCCTCCGAAACGGCTCGACCGATTTTAATGATTTCTTGTATCTTTTGTATATTTGGTAGGCATGAGAATAGGTCGTAAAGTATTTTTCACCCTCCTACCCCCAAACCCCGTTTTTTTATCGTGATTTTAGTATTATAAATTTTTGTGTGAACAATATCGAAATAATTTAATATTATATAAATATACAATTATAACATAAAGCAAAAGACTTTTTTGTAGATTTAACGCGGGCGAAGCCGCGGGTTTCGTTAGTTATTTTATAATAATTAATTATTTGTTTAATCTGAAACACAGTTTTTTAGTTCAGGAGCTACGGCTTCATGTACCTATTTGTAACGATAGATATTACCGTAAACTCTGTATTTTTTTTTATATCAATGGGATGTGACGTAATGCACCTTCCTTTTCATATTTGCATGTTGACAGGAAACCGCTTAGTATAACTGGCAGCTCAGTTACTGATGTTGAATTTCAATGTTAGTTTTAATCAAGTTTTATTACATTATAACGTACACACATGTACATCTTATTTTCTTAATTATATTATAAGTTAAAAACTTTTAGAGCTTTAACTGTCACGGAAAAAAACAGAAACAAGTAAGAAGCAGGTCATTTCGTTGACCTAATATTTTTTTCTTTTTTTTAACGTTTTTATATTTTAATCTTATTATTTGTCATTAAAATGTGTAATAAGTTTGAGAGGTTCGGCGTGGTAAAATTATTTGAATTTAGTCTATTTTCAAGGTAATAACATTTATTTACAATTTATGATATTATTATTTATGAGTTATGGTTTCAATAAAATTCAATTTTAAAGCAAGATATTCTTTATGTAGTAGGTAGGTACCTATTTATCTTTAAATAAACTTGCAACATACACCGCGTATACAAACAAGATTCCTGTTATTTAAGCTAAGAAAACAAAAACTGTTCTAATTAATTATTTTACAGATAAAATAATAATATTTTTTATTTTAAAATGTACCTATATCTCTTAACAGCGGTCACTGCGGCAGTCACAATGCCCGGGGGAGGCGGCGCACCACCAGGAACACCCTCTGCTAAACCTAAGGTAAATAATAATTATTATTTATTTTATATATACCTACCTACTATTTATTAAGGCATACTCTATTTAAGTTCAAGTTTTAACTGACTTAAAAAAAAGAGGAGGTTCTCAAATCGGATGTTTATATATATTTTTAATATATAAACATACGTTCGGGCACAATTTCGTCACATATAGACGGATTTGCAAAAATTTTTTTGTCGTTCGAGGTTTATTCCGAAATTGTCCCACTTAAATTTGAAAAAAAATCGACCCCAAAGTGTAGAAAAGAAAATATGAGATGATTGACTTTTACCTACGGAATTTTTAAAATACTTTCTTCTTATTTTGCCAGTACTATGTTTACACTAAAAATAGAAAATAAAAACTTAAAAAAAATAATAAAAATTAAAAACCCACTTCAAAAAAACACTAAAAAGTAAAAGTTACTAATTGATAGTTTTCATTTACTATATATAGTTAGTACCTACTATATGTACTATAGATATCAGATATTTTCGAAGTTGGTGCCACCCGATCACCAAATCACTAGCGGACGACAAAATATGTCACACACTGAAACACCAATCTAACTAAAATATTTTGTAAATATGTCGAATATTGTTTCTTTAATTTTTTTAAACCGTTTCTTTGTTTGTAGGAAAAACAAAGGACCAAAGTTGTTGTAGCTTTATATCCTTTTAAAGCCATAGAAAGCGGCGACCTATCATTGGAAAAGGTAACAACTATTTCCATTTATATTAACCCTTATTTTGATTCTTCATTATTATTAAGAGTGTTTTTTTTTAATTCATAAATGAAGCCGATAAAAATTATGAAAATTCTAATAATATATTTTCTATAGATGTTATTGATTTATAAAATGGCATGAGGAAATCACGATTGTGACTTGGGCGTTTAACAAAAAAAAAATATTGGTTATTTTTTTTTCTAATTTACTAGCGACTTGTCCTAGGTACGATTTTGTTTACAATTTCAAGGGTTTTATTTTTTTTGCACGGAACAATATTTTTTTTAAGAATAATAGTATTCAAGTTACTCCTTATATGCTATTTGCCAGTGAGAATATAATATGAACTATGACTAACAGAAATACTATAAAAAACTTTCACACGAAAATTAATTTAATAAAGTTATAAAATAAAAACATTGTCGTTCTGTTTGTTTAGACGCATTTTATATTAATATTGTATGCATATAGCCTCGATTGTTATTATGAATATTAAAAGTTATTATTAAAATCTGTATTCTGTGTTAAGGTTGCCGTTAAATTGTTTTAGTATACAAATACGTAATAAATATGAAAAATTTCAGGGCGCAGAATACGAGGTGATAGATGATTCTCAAGAACATTGGTGGAAAGTAAAGGATGAAAATGGGTAGGTAATTTAATTTTCTTTCATTTTTAAATTTAACTGTTTAGGTGTAACCTAAATCAAACAATGCACTAGTTGAATTTTTAAAACTTAATTTTTTCCATTTTTCTCTAACTTTTAAATTAAATATATTTCCGTATCGTTAAATCGGTTATTAAACGTACATAATACATGCCTATATAGTTTATACATATATATAGATAGTTATTAAAATTGACGGATTAACAAATGAAAGAAAATTATAATTAAAATTGTTAAATATCTAGCGCGAGATCGACTCACACATGACCAGTTTTTATTATTTGTATATTTACTACAATAGCCCAATAAGTTTTGTGTTGTAAGATTAATACGAATATGAATAAACATGTTACTTGTATGCAGTATGAGGAATGAGGATATTATCCCTTAATTATTATTAAGGGTTTTGTAGCCAAAAGGCAAGAACGGAACAAGATAACTATATTTTATTCATTTCATTATATCCATCTGTTCGTATGTCACAGATATTTTGATCGGGGACTAAACTGATATATGGAAGGTAATCGTCTCATGGGAACCGTTAGTGCTAATGTCAAATTACACAAAATAAAAAAATTGTAAAATAATAAAAAAGTCCTTAAAAAAATAGACAGATTTTTGACAACGGAACCCCAAAAACGACATTAGTCTGATAATTAAGACTTAGGTATTTTATTTATAAGTATTTAATTATGAAGTTATTATCTCAGTGCTTGACCTTATACGTTTTTTTTCAGATCTGTTGGATACATTCCAAGTAACTATGTTAAAGAAAAGGAAACTATAGGATTTCAAAAATATGAGTAAGTTGTTTTTATTTTGAATTAAATTAATTTTAATTAATAATTAAATGTAAATATTTCGTACACTGGTCATTTAAAAACTTTTTAAATATATATTTTTTAAATTATGAACCCAGCTAAAGCCTTAAAAACTAGAACTTTAATAATAAGAAGTCTTATTACAATAATCATAGCAGTTTCGAAAATTACCCTTCATAAATACATACAGACAGAAAAACAAACATACCTAAATATGAAATTGTTGTATAGGCATTGGTGGCATGTAATTAGTTATATTATAAGCGTAACATACGAAATTTGGTGTGAAATGACCCATAGACACTTTTATTTGATTTATAAGTCTACATATATAAACTAGATTTATCTTAGGATATACATTATATATATATATATATATATATATATATATATAACGGATATGTAGTTCAATATTTACAGAATATTTTAAGTCTATAAATTACATTAAACTAAAAAAAAACCTAAAGTATATATACATAATATAATAACTAAAAAATATTATTAAAATGAGTCCCTTTAGGCAAGGTTCCGAAGATACTGGATTTATATATATATATATATATATATATATATATATACGACTATATGTACATATATATATTTTTGACGTATCTTCGGATTATATATCCAGTGTAGAATTTGTCTACTATACATTCTGTTATAATTACGTTAATGATAATATATTTTTAATTAACGTAATTAATTATTAATATTTCGATAACTACATTATAATATGTGCAATAAATACTTGTGAGGTAATATTAATTGTAATTTGTGAAAATTAATCCCACTTTAAATGATTTTCTAAAGGTTTACCATTTCTAATTACTATTTATAACAATAAAAACCTTTTTAATGCGTTATACATATAAAAATACGGACTACAATCAAAATCTTTAAAATTGATCAAAGAAGACTATTGAAATATTTGAAAGTTTCTCATATATTTTTTCTTTGTGTTTTCATGTACGCAGATAGTATTTTTAAAATATATATAAAATCAAGGGCAACCGATGCCCCTCGTTTTGAATACTTATTTTACTTTTCCAATACTATTATAATCGATGAATTTGATCAGATTTTATTGTATCTCAATTTTTTATCGAAAATGCGAGAGATACTCATTGCTTATTATAAACAATTAGTATACAAAAAGTGTATTGTGGTTTTAGAAGGCCACAGTTCAGTGGAATTAAGAGACCTTGGTCTATAATTGTTATACTAGTGTATTTAAAAATGAACGTTAAGTATATATTTTAGCACTTATTAGTATTTAATTTCGCATAAATATATATTATGTTTTATATTTTTTATATATTTTTTTTGAAACCTTAAAATTGGATTGAAAATACATTGCAAGAAGTTAGTATAATATACAACATGATTTGTGCATAGGTCGTAGTAAGAAAAATTGGAACAACAAATAATTGCTTATTGTGTCAATATTCCCACTGAAGCAGTGGTAGCCCAGTGGTAACGCGCTCGCTTGAGAAACCGAGTGAAGCGGGTTCAAATCCCGGGTCTCGCACCTCTGATATTTTCATGTGCGAACCACTTCTAACATGATTACCACTTGCCTTACGGTGAAGGAAAACATCGTGAGGAAACCTGCGTGTCTGAGAGAACTTAGCAAGTTTTCGAGAGACATGTGAAGTCCGCCAACCCGCACTTGGCCAGCGTGGTGGACTATGGCCTGATCCCCCCACGTATTGAAGGGAGGCCCGTGCCCAGCAGTGGGACGTTAAAAATGGCTGTATACATTCCCACTGAATATACCTAATATTTTTTTGAAAAGAATCAACTTACATCAATATTCATGTATACATTTCGAGATTCACCACTGAATTCATGAATTTAATCATTCGTCATACTGAAGAGAACGTCCCGATTTTAGCTTAAAACGATATTTTCTGTAGGTGTCTATTGTATAATGTACATTTATTATATAGGAACGTCAGATATTTTCATTCATGATGATGAAAATGATTAAAATTTTTAAAACATAAACATACAAAATTAACTTTTTACTTAATTAATAACAAAAACTTAACTAGTGCTTTAACGAAATTCTTTAAATAATTAATCATATTACATTAATATTTGGAATAATTTATATCGTAGTGATTATTCTTAAGACGGGGAAGGTTCTGTTGGGTTTTAGTAGGTAATACTGGCTTATCCTGCCGATGAGTTCCACATTATACAGGTGGTATGTGTAAATACTTTTCCCAACATAAAGATAATAATATCACCTAATAACATCATAAAACATCTTTCTATGTATATATTTATAATAGGTACATAATAATACATCAAGTTTACATTTTTTATTACTTTATCATTTGTACTTTAAAATCTGGGTTTTGCAATAAAATTAATGTCATCTCAATGATTTTATATGTTCGTTACCGTTACATTACTAGAATAAAAAAATATTTTGTTACACCAATCGTTGTGTTTAGATTTAAGATTTTAATGGGATCATACTGTGACTAAAATAAATTTTATATGGAGATTTTATCCAAATATCTAATTTTTCTCTTTCTCATGATCATCATCAGACGTGTTATAAAGGACTGACCTACTGACTTACTTTACAGATGGTACGTGGGCGAAATGTCACGCCAGCGGGCCGAATCAGTACTGAAGCAAGAGGATAAAGAGGGTTGCTTTGTGGTACGAAATTCTTCCACAAAGGGCATGTACACGCTCTCTTTATATACCAAAGTGTGAGTTACTTTACGAGGGCACTTTGTGTGCTGACATTAATTATTGTATATTTTACGTTTTTAAAGTACTTTTTAAACTTGCGCCGTTTTTCGTAATGAATGAATGTTTTTGTGGCTATCTTTGCTTTTGCGGTTTTATAGTTGCTTATTGTTTTCGATGATTTTAAAAACGACTGTGTTGTTTTTCAATTTTTTTCCAGTAACCATCCCCAAACCAAGCATTACCACATAAAGCAGAACACACGCGGCGAATTCTACTTATCGGATAAACATTGTTGTTCAAGTATTCCCGAACTAATAAACTATCATAAACACAATAGCGGTGGACTTTGTTCGCGGCTGAAAACCACCCCCCGCGACCGCCCCGCGCCGCCCACTGCGGGGCTCTCACATGGTATGATCGTCTATACTTATGTAATAAAAATGTATGTTTTTACGGCATAATTACTAAATTCTCATTCTCAGGATATTTAACAGAAGCATACCCTCTAAAGTGCTAATGTTTATCATGGATTTTTTTAATTGTGGTCATGGCGATAGTTAATCCAATATTCTTCTTGGTAATGTGACGTAGAAAATAGAAAATTCCTTAATAATTTTAATATGATTAATATTAATATCATTAGAACTAGATATAATGTAATAGTACTTTCTCAAAACAACGCCTGCCTAACTAAAACAGAACATGTTTATCAATGAACACAGACATCCTTTAAATTCAAACCAGGTCCCACTATGACAAGGGACAATGAGATATGAAGGGTACCGGCAAAGAACAGGGAATATCCTAACAGATAGATTATGATAAAAAAAGAAATTTAAAGTTTAGAAGTTACAATATTTCTATTGCGATCAAAGTATGCAGTAATTTTTAACTATGTACATTTTTTGGACAATCCTTCTTTACCGGTATGTTATGGACATTCCCAGTTCTTTTCGCTTTGGGCAAAAATACGAACGTATTCTTAGTGATATCCGCTGAGTATTTGTTAAAACTAGTGGTTGAGAATGCAATTACCGTAGACATAGGTTTATTACCAGTACAATACAAAAAAAAACGTGTGTGTGTACTTATGTACGCACGTAAGGAGTTATACTTCTTTGTTAAGGAAACGCAACTTCAACATGTCGCTTTTAGCTAACTGACGATGTAAAAATTTTACTCTCATAGTTTTTTCCAAACGTGCCAAAAGAAGTATGTATAGCTTAAAAAAAACTTAAATTGTGACATTCCCCGTTCTCAGCCTGAACCCTTGATATAATGTATTTGTAGACAAATGGGAGATAGATCCGGGCGAGCTGGTGCTGCTGGAGGAGCTGGGCGCGGGGCAGTTCGGCGTGGTGCGGCGCGGGCGCTGGCGCGGCCGCATCGACACCGCCGTCAAGATGATGAAGGAGGGCACCATGTCCGAGGACGACTTCATAGACGAGGCTAAGGTTATGACGTGAGTACATGCTTTTGTTTAGTTTTTATCAAGTAAAACTTCTTTACGCACCCCTGACTTGGTGGGTAAGCCGGTGAATGCGTTACGAAAAAATGTACGTACGTTTGTTGCCATGGTAACCTTTTTTATTGTCTGACAAATGATATATTATAATATTATATTCTTTCCTTAAATAATATTCTATAAACATATGATTGTAATATACCTAATATACGTTATTTTTAATATCTCAACTATCCTAATTATTTAAAACATAAATTTAATTTCATAAAGAGTACTGATAACCTACAGAAGTTTTACTTCTTGTGCGTGTACACATTCATACACGCACTCTTTAATATATTTTTTATCAGTGTCTGAGATAGTCTCGAAAAAATATAGTTGAGCTATATAAAATGTGCCATATGTTGCAAAACATATGGTTCAGTTTGCATTGGTGATTTTTTTGTATTATGTTCCAATATTTGTGTTTTAGAGAAGAGGACCTCTATCTCTCTAATAAAACACAGAAATTAGAATATTAGAATATATATTTATTGACACATTTGTTTGTTGTTACATAAGCCTGTTGAAGCCTCTGACTCCCAAACTAGATTAAACCTGTATGTCAGGAATCAACGCCCTCTTCCATTTTTAATCATAAGTGGAGGTCAATAATATTACGGACATGTTTAATAGTAATAATTTTAGTATTTGTTTATGAAAAAAGAAAATAAAAAACAAAAAAAGTAAAATAAAATTAATTTTAAGAAAAATGTACTAAGTGAAGAGAAGTTACGTAAAATACTATATAATACATGTGTATGTGTGTGTGTGTGTGTGTGTATAGACAGTGGTAGCAAGTGATAACGCGCTCGCTTGGGAAACCGAGTGAAGCGGGTTCAAATCCCGGGTACTGTATCTCTGATATTTTCATTTGGAAATCATTTTCATCATGATTACTTACTTGCCTTACGGCGAAGCAATACATCGTGAGGAAATCTGCATGTCCGAGAGAACCCAGCAAGTTTTCAAAAGACATGTGAAGTCTACCATGCATAGTACTTGGCCAGCGTGTTGGACTTTGACCTGATCTCCTAGTATAGAAAGCAGGCCCTTTTTAACGTAAACAGGGCTGAATACTACTACTAATTTTATTCTCTAAACCGGGGTTTCTTAAAGCGGGCTCCGGAATATGTGTGCCAGGGGTCCGCAGCAGGTCAATTAGTTCTTAACATTAATTAAAAAATTGTGGAGTAAACTAACTCATCGTTTGTTTCATCCATCACTCTCGCTGGTTATAGATGAGCAGCGCGAGGCGATTAAAAAAAAATACACCCAAAAAATGTACACTGCGATATGATGAGATATCCGTGGAATTTTAGAGATTCTAAAAATGGTCCATGCTGCTATAAGCTTAAGAAACACTGCTTTAATCCAAAGCTAAATCTGTTAATAATTATAAATCTCACACGCCTCTTCCAGTAAACTCCAGCACCAGAACCTGGTGCAGCTATACGGCGTGTGCAGCAAGCACCGGCCCATCTACATCGTGACGGAGTACATGCGGCACGGCTCGCTGTTCAACTACCTGCGCCGCACCGCGCCCGACCAGCTCGGGCCCGCCGTGCTGCTGGACATGTGCATACAGGTGCGTCCGTAATAGAACGAAAATAGCTAAAGATTTCATCCCGTATGTCACAACTCAATACAGCTAACTTCATCATGTCGCTTTTTGCCTGTCTGTGTGCGCGCACATTGTAAAAATTTTATTCTCATAATTTTTTCCACCTTCAAAAATAATTAATTTTGTAATTTTAACATAATCCCTCCACGACCGCGGACTGTCAGTCAACAATAGATTTCTTAGAATTTTAATTAATTTCTGAGAAATTTACCTGGAGATGTTAATGTTGTCATTAGTAATTTTATTAATTAAATCACACACGTTTTTTGTCTGTATTTAAAAAATAGGCATACATATTATGTAATGTTCTAGTAATATATTTAGTACCGAATAATGTAGCATTACATACACCTCAATGGTTTTTAAAAAATATGTAAAACTTTTAAGGATAATAAAGAAAATAAAATCTAATTACTCTCTATATACTAATTTTTTCATGTCCATTTTTTCAGGTTTGCAAAGGAATGGCATATTTAGAAAGGCATAATTATATTCATCGAGATTTAGCCGCAAGAAATTGTTTAGTTGGAGATGAAAATGTAGTGAAGGTATGACGCTGTTTTTCTTTATAAATGCAATATAATAATTATTTAATTATAATCTTTATTCATGAATTTTATTTTCGTTTACAGGTCGCAGATTTTGGTTTGGCGCGATATGTCCTAGATGATCAATACACGAGTTCTGGTGGTACAAAGTTCCCTATAAAATGGGCGCCCCCTGAAGTGCTGAACTACACACGGTTTTCATCTAAATCTGATGTTTGGGCTTTTGGTGAGTTTTAAAAGTACTGTGATGAGATCTTTCCAATGTTTACTTTTTACGTTAAACTATAATTAAAATGATTTGGTCATTTTAACGTCCCACTAATGAGCACAAGTTATGTGTTCTCTTAGACATACTAGTTTCCTCACGATATTTTCCTTCACCATATTAGGTAATGGTAAAAAGATTCGCAAATAAAAATATCAGAGACTTGTAATTAAATAATTATTTAAAGAAAAACATTTGCCTATGTAGACTATAGCCTGGTTCCTTTTGTATTAAAGGTGCCCAGCAATGGGATGTTTAAACAAGTCTTAATCGTATAAAATACAAGTATTTTTTACGATACAAAATTTTAACATTTACTTATATAATAAAATACGTACATTATGTCTATGTATAGTTTTAAATATATATCGTTTTATTTTTAGGTGTATTAATGTGGGAAGTATTTACATGTGGCAAAGTGCCATATGGTCGAATGAAGAATTCTGAGGTAGTAGAAATGGTCCAGAGAGGACAGGTGCTTGAAAAACCCAAAGGATGTTTGAACGAAATTTATAATGTAAGCTGCTGTTATTATTATTTACTATATACCTTAAAATATTATTTCATAGTAGCAGATCATGAGGTACTGGGTTCGAGTCCCGAGTCGGGCTACAATAGTTACTTGGTTTTCTATCACATAATACTCAGCAGCCGTGCCTCAAAATGCTTCTCATCTGTCACTGATAATGTCGAGTGGTTGTCCCATCTAAATATGAAAATTAAAGATATAGAGAATGACTTATGCTTCCACACAACTTATACACTGTTCCCTGTCACTTGCTGTTGCCTAGCATCGGTGAGAGTGGTCGCCGTAACCAAAGTGGTTATTTATTTATTATATTCAGGTTACGCTATAGAAAATTCCATTAAGTTACACGTTTAATGTAAAAAAGAAAAAATACAATTATAAATTATAAGCACTTTTATCGAACTGCGAGATCAAGTTTTTCTTAAATTTGTTTTGTTATTAAATATCTCCAGATCTGTTATTAAAGTAAAGATATCGTTAAATAACTTCATAGCCCTTAGAAGTCGTGAAGTAAGCAGAATGGTGAATTCGTAGTTCTAGTTTTGGTCATTCGTTTTGTCGTTCGGCAAGGACGTGGTGAAATCGTCTTAAATTAGCATTCACGCCTCCTTAATGCGACGGGGCACCAGCGTACCACTTGGTTTTCCAAGCGAGCGTGTTACCACGGCCTTTATTATGTCATGAACTATATTAATGTAAAGTTTCATTAAAATCCAATCAGTACTTTTTGTGAACTAAGATGTATAATTTACTATAGTTTTTTAATCCCACGGGTTGCTTAAAGTTTCCGAGATGAAAAGTATTTAAAATGTTGACCCGGGATATAAGGTACCATCATGAAAATTTCATTTAAATCGGTCCAACAGTTTCGAAGACTAGCCAGTCCAAACAGACAAACAAAAAATTTGATAATCTCTTGATTTTTTTCTATTTCTCTTTTTACATCCCTCTGACTCGATTCTTAGCATTTTTTCGATGTACAGGCATTCGACCTCTACAGTTTTATTATATCTATATTCTATAGATAATATCATTCATAATCACTCAAAACAATTTCAGGTAATGAAAGCTTGCTGGCGACACGCGCCCGAGGAGCGACCTTCCTTCCGCCTGCTTAAGGAGGAGCTGGCGGGCGTTGCGCAGAGCGTGCTGGCCGATTGACTGCGTCTCCTGCTGCTGCTGTTACACCCTTCCCCCTCCCCCGCGCCATCCCCCTCCCCCTCCTCCGCCACGACGACCCTGCCGCGCGCCCGCCGCGTGCACGCCGCCTCGCCTGTATGAGCTCCTGGTACTGCCGCCCCTCCCCCGCCGTGTGCACCGCTCTCGACCTCGCCAGTATGAAACACTCCTCACACATTATGAGCTCTTAGTACATGTCTCTTTTTTAGCTTTTAAATTGAAACGTTTTTTTTTTGGTTATATTGACAGTTGAAAACGGGAGTTGGTTAGTTGACACCACTATAGTCCATTCGCGTTAAGAAAATAGTGAGTCATCAAGTGCAACGGCGGGTAAAGATGTATACAAAGTGGGAGTAAAATTTCAATTCAGATTCAATATTTCAAAAGATTAAGTTTAATGGATAAAAATCAACTTAATTACCTTATTACATACAAATCTTGATTTGAGATAATTAATCAACTTAGTTATCTTAAATCGAAATAAAGTCATCATATTATAATGATAATGACTTTATTTTGATTTGAGATAATTAATGACTTAAAGTCTGCCAATAACTAATCATTTTGAAATATAACTTTATAGTTTTATACAATCTAACTGGTCGGGGGGCGTGGCTAGGCCGGTGGACGATGACTCACTATTTTTTTTATTAACTATAGTTAATAGACATACGTTTTATGTATCAGCTAACAAAACGAGATTCCCTCGTAAATTTTGTATGGTAAAAGCAGCCTGTGACGTCAAATATTTGGTAACTAATTATTATTTATTGATTTAAAAGCGACTAATTATAAGATTTTACAGTTAATTGAAAATTAGTTGTCAGGACTTAATGGTGTTAACTATCCTAATGTCTTCCCCAAGTGTCGCTATGGCGCTTCCCGCCTCGCCTCGCTTATATAAAATCTTCATATAATATGTTTTCCTTGTATATTTGTTATTTTCGAGATTTCGAGATTTCGAATGGAGAAGATACTTTATTTTCAAAACACCGTCGAAAACAAGAATTTGGTCCAAATAATTCTATACTAGATGAATGTTTTTATATTAAAAGTTTAAGTGACATTCGTTATCATTCATAGTTTTGAATTCTTTCATTCATCTTACTTATCACACTACTTACTATTATAAATGCAAAAATTTGTATGTGTGTGTTTGTTTCTAAGGAGTAACAAGGATTAACACAGTATAGAGGTTGAAATGTTTTGGAAAAAAAATTAATATACAGATAGACGATCTGGAGTAACACGTATGCTATTTGTTAAAAATTTGCCAAAAGATGCCCTATGTATGATATTATAGTAATTATACAAAGGGCCCCAAAACAACAGGAAGGAAAAAGGAGCGAAGCGTAGTTATTTTTGGTTTCGAATGTCATTCAAACTCGTACTAGTAGGGGTTATAAACATTTGCTTGGTAATTTTAACTCGCGTGATTTTTTTATATGTTTAATAAAGGAAAGATAAGCGGTAAAAGAAAAATTCTCAATAATATCTTACCCTTTTTTTCACTGAAGGTCAACCCAAGGTCGCCCCAGATTTTATACATTTTAAACTTAGTTTTTTTTTAATTTCCTGTGTCTACGGGTAACTGAGATGGCACTTAAATGACATGAGTCAATTATAGGATCGTTAGAGGTATCTATACCATTACCTGCAAAAGAGACTGTGTTTTCTTTATTAGGTGCAAAACGTTAGCTTAAACAATGCAAATATTCAAATTGTGTTTGATTTAAATCAGTTAATATTAATTAACAAAGCTAATTGTTTATCTGATCAATTTAAGTACCCATCAAAATGTGAGCAGAATTTATTTATTAAAAGAACGCCAGTTATTATGTTAATTATAATAAGACTACCAAGTTAATAGTCAAATATTTAATTTAATAGTGATTTGATGTAAGTATTTGACACTAGTGTTTCTAAAAACAATACAACAACAAAAACAAATGTACATATCAAAGTCATATTGTTTGTGTGTTTATGTTATTGGGAAGCACATTCATATCAAATATTTTTTCCATTACGTTTCATTTACAAAAATATTAATTTTAAATTCAGCCTAAAATAAGAAAACGATAGCCTAAAAGAATATACGAAAAAAAAGTATAAATCACTATGAAATAAAAATTTGACTATTTTTGTTTTTAACATTCAATCTGAAATCAAAGTAATATCAATCAATCATTATACCTATTGAATTATTTATATTGAATTCTTGTACAATATTTTTTAATTATATAATATAAAAGATATTAATGTTCCCCAATAAAAATCCTTATTGTAACCTGGCTCCATTATAAATGACAACAGCAGCATAGTGTATAATATAACACGACTGTAAAGTACATTGTAAATGAGATATTAATTTAGCGAACACAGTAGTTTTAGTAGTATTCAAAATAGTTGATACAGGATGAGGTAGTTCTTGTCTATGTGTGTGCGGGATAGATGTAGTTTGTCTATGGATTGAGTATGGCGCCACGTAATTTGATCCAAGATGGCGTTTGTGGTTTTTGATAGGTCGAAAACCACATATATTATCTTGATTCAATCTATTTGAATACTATTATACGATTCTTAGCAAACTATAGTTCGATAGTGATTCTTAAATGGGATAAGGAAATAAACCAATTCTAAAGGCATTTTAAGTTTTAGATAAACATAGACTGTTTGACATTTATAACAAAACATTTTTTTTAATCGACTTCAAAAAGGAGGAGGTTCTCAATTCCATTGGTTTTTTTATAATTATTGTTGTATTTTGTGATCAAGTATCACACTTTTTAGTGGTATTTAAATGATTGAAATTTAAAGTGATGTTAATAATTGTTGTAATTAATTAGACACTATTCAGTATTATCTTTTAAATTAAATATGACTGAACTAAATCTTGACATTCCATGTAATTCAATTCAAAGGTCATAAATGCATTCACTAACTTACCTTTGATTGAATGAAGGTAAATATTGAAGCAGAGGCAACCAGTTTAACCGTCCACTGCCAGAGAGATACAGTCAAACATTATCTTTATATATATAATTCTTCTGTGAGTGTGTATGTCACTGAACTTCTCACAAACGACTGGACCGATTTTGATGAAATTTTTTGTGTGTGTTCAAGGGGATCTGGGAATGGTTTAGATTCACAATTTGAATAATAATTTTCATCAAAAAAATTATTAAAAAAAGTTTGAAATTTTCAAATTAAAGACGTGTAGACAGGACAACGTCTGTCGGGTCCGCTAGTATTTTTATGAAATATCAAGGTATTATGCATAACGTGTTTAAATCTAGTCTCTAATTTCATATTTCTCACATAAATTCAAATTAGTTACATGACATATATTATACATAGGGAAAACTAACTATTTTTAGTAGTTTTTAAAAGAAACACGTGTTTAGTTTGATTTTACCTTTCATTTAATATTAACATTTAATACCATTACAAATTTCAACAACAGTCAGATAAGTGGCGCGCATTTGCTGTTATTATTGTTAATTATAATTGAATGAATCAGTTGTATTTATTACATTATTCACGAACAGCTACGACTGAAGTTAAACCTTGAAATGAATATGATACAAAATCAAGGGCGGATCTATCTATAGGCTTTTTTGGGCTGCAGCCCAAGGCCCCTATAGATGTAACGCGCTCCATATTGAAAACCAGGAATAATATTAAGAATTTATAAAATAAAAAATCTATTGAGAATCAAACAATATCGACCTTAATTTCGTTTAGTACTATCTATAATAATAGGTTTTATAAGACAAAATGATAATTAGTTTAGGCTCCCAAGAACTGTTAGCCCAGGGCCCCCAAATTCACGGTCCGCCCCTGTACAAAATACAAATAATAATCTCTGGCTAAGATTGACCATTTCGCGGTATTATACATAATAAAATAAGGAATTGTACAAAATAAACTAAACAACGAAAGTTTTTGATAAATTTTAACCTTACATAAATTCAAATTGAAAATTAAAACATCAATAAAATATGGCCATTTAACAGTTCCGGCACTTTGTTAATGTCACAGTGTAAAAATCTGAAATTAAAAACAAAATCTTTGTCTAAACTTATAGTTATTTACATTCTTTATTTTTTTTTAAATCATTTTCCCTTCTCATAAGCAAAATTAAACGTGATTAAAACCTAGTCATATTTAAGATGATGGAAATAGATGCCGTTTTATTGTTAGCGTGTTTTAAGTCGAGCAGTTTAAGTTGTCGCTGAAAAATAGTAAAGATACTTACGAAGATTACTGAATGTAGCATTGAATTATTTAGTACACTCTCGATCGGTTTACCGTTATGTCAATACTCACTGATTGATTTAATATTTATAAAATTTGTAATCGTCTTGCATATCATTGAAGTGGCATCCAATGTAGTGATCACATTTAAGAAACTGAAGACCCATCGAGCATTGTGAATTTGTTATCTTAATATTTATTTTGCATTATTAATTTCTCTACACTGAAAATCGTACAATGTTCGTTAGGTCTACAGCTTTTAGCTTATTTCAATGTGGGTAAGTAAAAACCGTCCCAATAAGGCAATGTGATGAGATATGTTTGTGATAGAAAGATTATTGTAAATTATTGTATGTGTTGGGTCGCGGTTTACTCCACTAACAAAAGCTTCTCATCATAGACGTAGCTAAGTGTAAATTTTGTAATTAGGGGAGGCATATATATTAATTAGATATGCAAAGCTAGATCTTATTTCCGGTACTTTTTAATTTAAGTTTCCCCTAGACAGCTACGCCTATGTCTTTCATTGAATATAGTTGGAATTGTGATCCTTCACATCATAGTAGCGACACAAATGTGCCAATTATTTGTGTAGGTACTCGTATGAACTTATGTAGATATAATTTTAAGTATTTGCGACTGAATAATGTTATTTTAATTTTCAATAAAATATTTTTTTATCGCGATGGCTCACATTGTAAAAAATAATATAATATCATTCATTATCACGTGTATTTATTGTGTAATGTTTATATATACATATAGATAATTTCCATGCACATGCTATTATTTTGTCTTTGAATTTAACGATGCTTTGTAATTAGGTACGTACCTAAGTTTGTAGTAAATAAATATTGAATTAGATTCCAATGACTATTATGTTAATGTGTCAGCGTCATTTATCAGTACAATATAGATCAAATAAAGCAGTGTAATAGGAATTTAAGTTTGATGATATTTGCTTTGGAATTGTACAGCGATTAATTTGTATACATAACTGTTTTATAAGTAAATATATTATAGAAAATATACCTGCAGTTGTTTATTTAACGTCCTATGAGTGAAATATTTGTTGATTTGAGCAAATAAAACAAACTTCAACTTGCAATATTTATATTGTTATTCGCTAACGTTTCCGTCGTACATCGTCCACTTATAAATAAATCTTATAACTAAAAATAAAAATCTCAATGAAACATGTTCAAACATAAGTTTCTGTTATTAATATTTTTGAACTATAATCCATATCTATTGTAAAATGACAGGTTTTCAGATAAAACGAACATATGTATACATACGTTTATCGCGACCAGAAATTTTGCAAACTAGCGATATGGATACAAGTACCATTAGACATCATAGCATTATATTAAACAAATCAATTGTAGAGTTATAATTTAATCGACTTTAGTAAGAATTTAATGTTAACGTTTTGAAATATATTTTACTTGCAAAAAAATTAAGTATATGCCGGAAACAATATTAATAAGTTTATTCTTGCACCTTTGTGATCGGTAGATCGGTAATGAGTCCTAAAGATGATACAATTTACAGTATAGCAAATGCAGTGTAAAAAGTAAACAGCAAAACTGACTCATTTTGCTAATAAAATAAAGCTATAATATTGCGTAGATTAATTCTATCATAATACAGAAATAATCTTGTAATATCAAGTGTTCATATGATTTTATTTCAACGGTCTTGTCTCGTATTTGATAACGTTGTAGATATGTCACGGATGAAGAAAAGTAACTGAATAAAAAAAAATACAGTCGAATTGAGAACCTCCTCCTTTTTGAAGTCGGTTGAAAATTACAGTGTCAGTTGTAAAGCTTAGTTCTGTCTAATAATTTTTGGCTAAATCATGACGTCATTAAGAAATATTAACTTATTATCGATTAATTAATTATTATTATTACAAGTATAGTTAAAGAACGGTCATTTTTTAAATTACCTATGCTACTACATTTCACTTAATTTTATAGACACTGTATATAATTATAATTTAAATATAGTAGCTTTATATAAATTATATATATACATAGTTGCAGTTAGTTAGTGAGCAAAATTAAATGATGAAATGCGTCCAAAGTTTTTATATAAAACAACAAAATTATAAAAAAAATCTGTTCGTATTCATGAAAGATATAATTTCTGAGTAATTAATAGGAATATTAATAATAGGAATGTTTGAACTTTATTAAACATGATTTTCAAATAAGTTATAATTTTATTACAAATTGTACCTATTTTACCCATGCAGATAAAAATGGGTTTAAAATTAACGTCGCTTCTAGTCAATTGCCGCAAAACTATCGACTTTTTCCCAAGTCTCTTATAATTCCTTCTCTGCGACTCACTCTCGCTTCCCTCAGGTTCGTCCCTAGCTTGCTTCCCAATACTAACTTTCATCCTCTTAAGAGATGATTTCCGGGATAAAAAGTATCCTTTATCCTTCCCAGGGTCTTAAACTATCTTACCAAATTTCATCTAAATCGGATCATGAGATTTAAAAGTAAAAAGATTTTTTAATTTTCTTTTATAAAAAACTTGCCCTGACAATAAGAAACACAAAAAAAGAACTATCCAATTTGGTGCAGTCAATCGGAAGTTATTCGCGTACCTACATTTTGGTGATTCATTTTTATTGATATAGATAGTTTTGCATTTCGATTTTTTTCTATAACTCTCAAAAATTATCCTTAATAACATCTAAAACGGGCATAATTGTTTTTTTTTAAAGAAATCGCAATACCTCTTTAATTTTATAAGTATATGGAACATTTCATGAGTAGCAAGTGAAAAATCATATGAAATGCGATTTCATACGTCGCACCTGCTACTTAAGTTCATAGTGACTACTACAAATCATATCTTGATGAAATCACAGATCGTATTCGGATTTCATCGTAGAATTAAATCGTCGCGCGTCACTCGTCATTGCTATTTAGAGAGTTAGCGAGTAGGCATGAAATGGGCATGTGAGTTAGAAAGAGAAAAACATATGTTGCTGATGCGTTATTACTTGTAAACAATAGTATACCGTCGAACTACGACTTCGTGACCTTTTAAAACCTTTTAAGTCCAGGCGGATAAAGTTTGGATTTCCTTTAATTTGAATTTGTAGCAGGTCACAATTTAAAATGAAATTACGTATATATTATTTTTCATTCGTCGAAATTAAAAATCATTGCCTGTGAAAAGTAGCAGAAAGCAAAATCACTGTGAAAAATATACGTAATTTCATTATATGAAAATGAATTAAAAGTAGCAATCATTTCCATGAAAAATATTAATAGCTACATACTTTTTAAACAGTGACATACAGACTCTACAAGCTTAATGAGCTATCCTTTCTTATCCCATAGTTTAACTGCACAGATATTAGGTATTGTTAAAAAATAAAATTATTTTTAAAGTATTTATTTAATGCAATACCCTGTTTTATTATGATAATTCCTATATGGATACATCTTAGAGATGTATGAAATTAACTATTAAATTTTCAAATAATTATGATAAGAAAAATACTACACATTCATTGATGATGGATTTCTAAAATGTTAAATGAATAACTTTGCCAAAATTGAAAATATATATCATAACATATTTCATTATTATTATTTGTATATATTTTAGATTTCCCACACATGCATAAGGCTACCCATTGTATAGGATCACTTTTACTTTTAACATTTTATCTAAGTTTTTTTAACACTCACGGCACGCAGTACATATATAATACTAGCATTGCTCGGGGCTCGTTCAGATGACAAAAACCAAATTCTTAGGTTTTACATATTGGTATACTCTTACATCGCAGTTTTTGTATTTTTTCTCAGAAATGAGATATTTTCCCGCGGTAAAAAGTATCCTATATGTTGACCAGGATAACCAGCTAAGACCATACCAAATTTCATCAAAATCCCTCCAGTGGTTTTTCTGTGACGTGGTAACAGACAGACAGACAAAAATTCTAAAAACTATAGATTTGGCCTCTGTATCGATAATAATGTTTATTTCTAAAAGATTTTCCAAAAAATATCTAATGTACAGATTTGGCTTAATTACAATTTTATTATATGTATAGATTCAAGAAGATTGTTTTTCTAGACACTAGTTAAAGAATGTAACCAGATATTGCAATACTGAATAACTTTTACTTAGATGTAAATAATAGTATTAAATATTATTAATATAATATTAATCTCAACGAAAGTTCAAGAACATATATGTTGGTTTGTAGTAGGTACCTATATAAGACAACAAAAAAAAGTCTTGAATCAAAATGCCCGCAATATTATCAATAACACTCCAACATTAGTACTCCTTATATCTATCCTTATTTAAGTAACAAGTCATTTTGGTATCTTAGTTGTACAATATTATTAAAAAAAATATGTAATTCATTGGTCTTATAAAATGGCAAGAAGTTACTGTAGTTTATGAACATAATTAGACTAGATAACTTAGATTAAATAAATATTAATTATTAGAAAAATCAAAAGAGGGAGATGTTGTCTTTACATACAAATAGAGTTAATAATAATATGAAAATTAAATTTCTACAATTTTTAAAAAGCTCCATTAAGTTTTATTTTAATAAGACCGAAAATAATTTCCATACTACATAGTTACACTGTATTTTAGTTATTTTAAAAGTATTTATAGTTCAAATATATAATATTCAAATTTATATCATTAAAAAAAAAATTGAAATGATGAAATTCTTCCCACCAGAGTATGAGAGTGACAGGAATAGAGAGTGCACTTGTGTCTGCGCGTACATTTGTGCACTATAATGTCTCCTGCGCGCGCAGGTGGGTAGCCTCAATGAGATTGGCCACCGTGGCCAGAATCGGTCAGGAGAACATCATCATCATTAACAAAATATCTATGTAGTTTAATTTTTATAATATTTATCCATCTTAAATATGAAAAGAAATGTGATATTTAATTAGTCTACTAAAACAATAATTTGTTTTAATAACAGTAAACTTAATAATAAATATTTAGGTTAATGAAAATTTAAATACCTTATAAACATCATGAGTCATAAACTTAAATATTATTTGGACTAGTTAACATTATTTAGTTAAAGTTAGTCAAGAATGTACAAGTGAATACCTTTGTTACATATCGGTGGGTAGAATATCAGGTATCAAATACCGGCATAGGTCTATTTCAGAATTAACAAAGGTAACCTTTCCAGCTGTGTTTTCATCAAGCCTATAAAATAATTTTATATTAGTAAAAGAAGAACTATAAATTAATTAAAAATAATAAATAAATAATTATTACCATCCTTTAATAACAGCCCAACACCCTGAAAAGAAAGCTGGTGCATTTATGATGAGGCAAACACCAAGCCTTTCTGGATAATGTCTACTAAGAAGCCATATCAAGTTCTTTAGTACTTGATAATCCATACAAGAAAGTGTAAAGTTGTTAAGGTCGAAAACAATACACAAGTTATCCACTACTTCTTCAAAACATTTCTTGCTTGCTTCTTCCTATGCGTGAAAAAGGAATTCAGAGAATAATAAAAGGGATAAATTTAAAAAAGGCTTATATTAGTATTCTAGGTTTTTAATACAATTTGATAATTTTAATATTTATTATTTTTAGTAAAACAAATACTGATAAATACAGATTTAAGCATAGTGGAGAAAATTGGCTTGATATGTACTTTTCTTAAAATGTACTTAAATTGACTTACCAAGCAGTAAACAATAAATTTTGTGAGGTCATCAATACTTCTATCACTAGAGCTGTGATTTTTGGCTGGAATATATACAATAGGTCTACCAACTATGTCTCTATGTCTCAGCACTCTGGCTTTGTCAGAATATTTCTCTATCATCTCCTTATTTTCTTGCAGAGTAGAAACACCATATTCAACTCTCCATTTATTTGTTTTTAAAATTGCCTATAATTGGAGTAGATATTAGCACCAAATTTTTTTTTCAATTTTTCTACACATTTTAAGACAGTGCAATTTTTAAAGAAGATTAATTTTTGATGCAGTAGGTAAATTATACATAGTCAATGAGCCAAGGATCCAGGGTACTTATATTTTTTTCTTTAACTAAAACAAATCTATACTAATATTATAAAGAGGTAAAGTTTGTGAGTTCGTGACGTTGTAGGGGGTAATCTCTGGATCTACAGAACCGATTTAGATGAAATTTGGTAAGAACGTAGTTTGAGACTCTAGGAAGGACATAGAATAGTTTTTATCCCAGAAATTGTCCCTTAAGGGAATGAAAGATGTATGGGGAAGCAATCTAGGGACAAACCCGAGCAAAACGTGGGTGAATTGCTAGTACGTTAATAAATTTTAAGACTCATAATTATTTTCATAAAAGATTTAATTATTGCTTTAGAATTGTAATTTTTATAAGTTACAAAAATCGAAACACTACCTGAAAAGCACCATCAACAGTTTTAAAAGCTCGTAAATATCGCTTTAATGAATATTCATTATGGTACTGAGCAGGGTCTGCATCAGCGATTAATTTCATTCTTTCCTTTAACTGCCTCAAATCTTCCTCATTAACAGGTTTAGGTTCATCTGCCATCGTAAAATTTATAAGTTTCTCAATGACACTTGAAACCACAAAATATGCTATACTTGTACGTTTTTTTATTAAATGATAAACATTAAACAGTTTAGCAAACGAACATTGAACAACAAAATAATATAATTATAAAAACTATAGCGAAATTTTTATAATCCAATGATGATCAAATGAGATCGTCATTCGTCACACATTGACAATTGACATAACATATGCATAGACCAGGAACAACAAGGACATAAGTTTATTTGTCATCCATGGGTATTTCTGATTTCTTAATTGCCATACATTACGGAGCGATATATATATTATATATTTATATATATATATATATATATATATATATATATATATATATATATATATATATTATATATTTATATGCTGTTGTTTATACAAAAGTGAAGGAATATCAATAATTATTAAGATAAAAACACGAATAAGATTTAAATAATGGTCATATATTTTTGAGAAGAATGAAAAATTGTTATAACAGAAAGAGAAATTATCTATTTTTATTTTTTAAGCTAGGCGACATTACGTTCTGTCACGTGCTAGTAGCTGTCATAGACGTAGATCTACTCTAGACTAGAGCAATACTGTCCAGTGTAGACAACTTAAGAGCAAGGAACATTTTTACTCTAGGGAGCTTAAGAGTCCCCCCCTAAATTGCACCTGGGTATTTTTAGGTGGAAAAATAGCTCAGCTATTGAAACGACATTCCTTAGTAGACTCTTGATTTTTTTTCTGCAAAGTACTTATTATCTTGAGTAATCCCCCAAAGTTTCAAGTGGCGGAAACAAATATTTTCGGAGATAAAAAATATCAAAGTTTGATAAATATAACCTCAATCTGCACTATTTTATTGTTTTTGACGTAATTTTGACAGCAGTGTTGCTATTTTAGGAAGTTTTAATTACCTATGTGTTTTGATTTTGCAAGACAAGAATTGTTGCCATTATAGAAAGTTTTAATTACGCGTTTTAATTTTGCAAATAATAAGTTGACGCGTATTTTAATTTTTATTTGAAAATTCTCAATATATTATTTGGTTTAAACAATTTCACAGTTATTTCAGATTTTTTGGGTCAATAACAACGAAAATTTTGATTTTGTGTCAATCTAAAGTTATTTTAGTTACTTATCTAAGGCATCTAAAAGGTCTATTTAATATAAATAAATCATTTATCATTATCACAAGTATGTGATAGCAATAAAATTTGCCTTTTCATTCATTTCATTCATTTTGACAAGTTAGGTAAGAAGTTTGTGGTTAGGGTACAACTGATAGAGGAAGAGCCCATGAACGCCAGACCTTCGTCATTTTATAAAGGCTGAAAGTTAATGCTAGCAGTCTTATAAATCATCTAATTATTACTCAAGTATTATATATAAAATCAGCTTTTATACTATAACGTAAGTAGAATTATGATTTCATGAAAAGGATGTCTGGCAAGGGTTTGCCACGATGTTAAGTGTCTGGCATTGAATGACATGATTTTCAATAATATTCTGAAGGTAATACACAAAATCACACTTTATTATTTGACGAATTTAGATCGGTATTTTACACGCCTTGGGTACCGTGTACCTGCGAAAGCCACCATAGCCTGAACTTCATAATGGTCCATCGTTCTTATCTGTGTTGGGAGCATGCGCTGACAAACTTTCAGCTTTTATAAAATGACGATGGCCTGGCGTTCACAGGCTCTTAGGCCATAGGTAATTGTCGTCTAGATCTTGGTTAGGTTAGGTTAGAACAGTTAAAACAATGCCATAAACTCAAAATTTCATGCAAAATCGAAGTAAACACTCTACATAACATAACCTCAAAATGAGATTTTTTAAAATTAAGGGGGGTGATCTACATCCTCCTCACCACCCCTCTCCCCCCAAATATGTAGATTTAAGGGGAGGTCGATTCAATAGTCTTTCCGGAAAAATATATTTATATAGCTTTGTTTAAAAATAAATACAGTGATATTTTTTTTAAATAAACCAATGTTTCCTTTAAGAAAGTAAATCTTGATAACTTCAATATTTAAGGTACCTATTTTTCTTCCATGTCCTATCTTTTTGTTCCACCTGTATAGGTGTACCTAAATATAACTGTGTATAAAAAGGAAGATATCGCATACCCGAATTGAAAATATTCTTTTACTATTTAATACTTAGATTATTAAAATAATCTAAGATTTTATCGTCCTTTAACATGAAGTCGACTCCATATTTACGATATAAGTATTCGACATACGTATAATCAACGCAGATATAATATTACATTAAGTCCTGTACCTAGGGGTTGTAGAAACCACCAGGTATAGGTAATTATAATAAATATTTAGTTTGTCTATGTAAAGCGGCACAGGTACACAGTTATTAGTATGCAAATAAATGTCCACCCAACTGTCGTTATAATTACGCAGTTGAGCTACATCGAATGGGCCTGTATAAATTACTGCATTGTACACGGCGACGGGAAAATACGTTAAAATATTTGGTTAAAATATGGTAATGTATTTTGTGTAGGTTATTTTGAAACAATTAAAATTTAAAGTTCACCCACTCAACGATCAATTTCACTTAGAGTAATCCTATATACATGACTCACTAAATCACTCCTTCTTTGTATTTGTTACTAACCCTAGTGCAAACGACCTAACCCTAATCCAAATAAAACATTATTATTATATATAATGTACATAAATAAGTAAGTACCTTTCATATCAACCAATGTACCAAGTATTTTATATCAACACTAGCGAGTAGCGACTCGCCCTCGCTTCGCTCGGGTTCGTCCCTAGCTTGATTCTCCATACAAACTTTCATTTCCATTTTCACCCCGTTAAGGGATGATTTCCGGGATAAAAGTAGTATCCTATGTCCTTTCCAGGGTCTCAAACTATCTTCTTACCAAATTTCATCTAAATCGGTTCAAAAGATCCAGAGATTACCCCCTACAACGTCACTAACTCACACACTTTATAATATTAGTATAGATTTAATTGATATTCTTTAAATCTTTTATCTATAAATATTTTATTTTTTATTATATGTGTACCTATATATGTATAGATAATAAATACACTTGTTTTTTTGTTCATTAATAATAATGTAATGTTTACAATACATATATTGTGACTGTTTACTAGCAGTTTAGGTACTTTTGAATTTGCTACTCTCCTAAAATAGCGTTTCAAAATAATTTACCTGATTTGGTGAAAAAAGAATCGTTATAGGTATAACTTTCATCCAACAGCTAATGAGTTGTCAATTATTTTTTAATTTATCAATATAGGTACCTATTCATTAAATCTTAATTGATTGCTTGCCAATATTTTTTATTAGTTATTAAGCTAGGTACTATAAAAATAGTGTCTCGCGACGTGTGGTTTTTACATTATGAACGCACTAGCGGCTCCAAAAAAAACAAATCTATCCCACAGGAACCATACATCTTTACAGGATAAAATGTAGCCTATTTGTTATTCTGATGTATAACATATATTATTGCGAAGTTTCATTAAAATCCATTCAATAGTTTTTGCGTGAACGAGTAACAAACAACAATCTATACATTCAGACATCCAGGCATCCATACATCCTCACAAACTTTCACATTTATAATATTAGTAAGATCAGTAGGATATATTTAATGTTTTTTGGAAACCGATAGATTCAACATAACAATGTAAGTATAAACTCTTAACTTATTTTATTGGTATATAATTTTAAAAAAGCTTGAGATTTCATTTTTAATCCTGTGAGTTGGTACCTACGGAATAAACTGAACATGTGTGTTAGTGACTATCTAGCAACTAAAATGAAATGCAAATTATTATTGGAATGTGCTCATTATACTTAATTTCGTAAAGCATTAAACTTTTGTAATAATACTGTTTATGTATACACTTTATTACATAAAACATGAATGTCTCCACATTATAGGTATTTATTTTAATACATCACTCAGTTATTATCAACCATAAATGAATTTTATTTAATATATCTAAACATAATTATTTTCGTAAGAAATGCATACGTTTAGACGTAACTTTAGGACAGGAGACCATTAGAAACATCGAAATTAGGAATGTGTCCTATGCGACTTCTGAAGTCTGGAATTGTGCAACAAAAACTGTAGCCGATAGCGAGGTTATCAGGCTGCCAGCCGATCCAGCTAAAGGCACTGTTGTCACGACATCTGTCGGTACAGAATTGTAGTCCTCGAGCCTCCGCCAACGTGTAGTAAGGGTTGTTTATCGAAACAAAGGCGGTACCACGACGTCTAGACGCATCATATACGACCTAAAATGCATTGTCAGGTTAGAAAAATACTTCAATAATAATATTGGTTAGGTAAAAGTTATACCGTGAAAGGCAGATTATATATATAAATAAATAAATAAATATGTCAGGACATTAACACACAACACCATCTAGTTCCATGGTAAGCTACGAGGCTTGTGTTATGGATACCAGATAGTTGATACATTATACATATATAACTTTAAATACATACATATTATAAATATAAACATCTATGACTGGAGTACAAACATTCGTGCTCATCACACAAATTAATGCGGGACTCTAACCCGCGACCACAGACACAGCAAGTGAGTCATTACAAACTGAGCCAAACGTGTCGTCAATATAAATATGATAAGCCAATGACCCATATTAATACAAAAAATATAGTATTAAATAGCCAAAGATCACCTTGTAGTAGTAGAGAGGTACAGGTACTCGATTATTAGATTCTAGATAGATATCTACAAAGCGACCAGAAGCGTCACGAAGTTGAGTAACACCAAACGTGCCAGTGTAAATCACCGTATCGTATCCAGCAACTCCAATGCGCCTTCGAAGATTCTGTAAGAATCGAAGTGAATTATTACATTTAATGAAAATAACTACTACGATCATTGGTATTCATTCATAGCAAAATGGTTTTGGTGAATACCTGTTCAAGAGTGTTCCAATTACCAGCGTTGAAAGGTTGCCACTGTGGTGCTGCATTGCTAAAGTAGAACGTAGCGCGCTGACCAGTGGCAAATACGAAATCACTCTTGGCAGCAAGGTGACCGCGAGCCAAAAAGTTTGTGGTAGTAATGTAATTATCTACCATATTGTTTCCCACCAATCCAGCGATAACGTTCCTTTGGTTGACTTGAGTGTAAACTGTATTAATAGCTACACCGGGAAAGTGGGCACCCGCTGACGGAAAAGAAATATTTTGATAAAGTTTTTTTGTTGTTTGATAGAATAAAAAAATATATTTATCATTACATTAAAATTTTGTTCATACCTAACCAGCTGGGTCGGGCAACACCTGTTTGATGAACTGCATTTGCAGCATTTTGATTTTACCAAACATACAAAACTTCTAATCGCGTAGGGTTGAAGCAGGACCAGTATAGAGGGTAAAACACGTTGTTTACAATAAAGCCATGGCTAAAAATAAATAAAAAATAATTAAAATGTTCGAGTTTTACACATATTATATATTAGAACTATTCTAAAACTCAATCTATTTACCGAATAACAATGTTATTGTTAAAACATCTTTCAGATGTTTGTTGTGATTCGTGATAAGCATGAGCAGAACAGGTTAATAGCCCAAAAGCACCATTTCCATTCAACCAACCTGGTCCCGATACAAATGCATTGTTGACACATCTTGCAGTCTAAAAGTTGAAAATATATAGTACAGTTCATACGTAATTATAGATCTATTATGCAAGAAATAAATAAGTAAGGAGGTAATTCAACAACTGAATTATATCTAATTCACATTTCGTAAAACTTCATAGTACCGGTGGCGAGACTTAGTAGAACAGGGATTCTTGAGAAATTCCTGGCTCGAATTAGCTTTCGACTTTGGATTTTGAAACCTGAACTCACCTTTCCGATTATAAGCTCCACGGAAGTGATTAGAGTAATTTAAATATTGGAAAAGAATAAAGTTATATTTTTAGTAACGCATATTTTGTTCAATAAAGATTAAAATTTAACCGATCTAAAATATTACATTTCTTTAATAATAATAAAAAAAACTTAACTATCAAATATAATTGTAATAAAATTAAAAATCTTACAGCTGTTTGGACATTTGATGCTATGTTTGGATGTTGTATCAATCGGTTACTCCCAGGGCAAGAGATTATGACCTCTTCGTTTGAATTAAGAGTGATGATGCCAGTATTTCCTGCTGCTTCGAGGTAATTATTTATCGAACGCCTGATATATACAGGTTGAGGTTGCCCAAGATCACCATTCACACGTATAGAGCATGCTATATAGAAATACAATTTTAAAATGAATAAATGATTCTTTAAAAGGTTTCGATAAAGCTTTTACGAACTTATACTGTTATATGCTTTTATTTTAGTAGTATTATAGAATTGCGATTCTACCATTTGATATGAATGGCCTTCTACTGAAGCCGTCCAATAAATCTGTATTTTAATTTAATACTTAATACTATATGAAAATACAATCACAAAACTTTGCATGACAAGTAAACTAACCAAAGCAAAGCTGGGGCGCGATTATTATTTTAGCTGGGATACTTAGTAATTTTATGTGGTCAGATGGTTATATTTATTATTATAAATCTGTGCAATCAATCTAAATAAAATTTATATAATATAATACAATTACCGCTTCGAGCTCCTATTGACGTGTCTGTTGTTACGTTCAGCCAATTGCGTTCTTCAATTTCAAGCCATTTGTCCAAATAATCTTCGAACTCCTCTTCACCTAACAAAAGCGCTAACTTAGCCGGGTGAGGCATTTTATTAGGGATCGCTGATGAGGGAAAGGCTAAAGCCATGATCACTAAGATCAAACGGAACATGGTGGAAGAATGTTCCATCGTAACCAACTACAATAGACTTGAGATTGAGTTACAAGGAACAGTGTCCGCTATAATAATGTCGGATATCATATTTATATAAAGTTTCATATCTTTTAATATATTTAATACTCTAAAATAAAGAATCATTTATTACTGATAAAGAGATTAACCAAATTAGTAAGAAAATATCATATAGATGATTAATGCTTACCCTCTGATTCCACCCACCATTTTATGGGTACAGTTAGAGCTATAAATATAATTTAAGTAAGTAAAATAATCAAGATGTGAAATTTTAAAGTAAACCACTTCGCATTTTACTCATCTAAAAATGTATTGCTTCCAATATGTGACGCAGAGCTATTTACTTTCCTGGGATAGACTGTATTTTTGACTATAGTATAGTATGAATAAATAAATAAACTATCTTATAACGAGAATCTGCCTTTAAAAAATATTTGTTATAAAAATATATAGGGTAAAACTATTTGTTCACGTCGTCTAACCGAACTTCAAACGGTTAGTTCCCTTACTTGAGAAATGATTCCCCATATAATCTTCCACCACCCTTTACACCCCCTTATATAAGATATGTTTTCCGGGATGAAAACTTATGTCATTCCCAGGCAGTGGCGGCCTTAGGGGGTGGCGAGCAGGGCAATCGCCCGGGGCCTCGCGCTTTTAGGGGCCTCGCGCCTTCGCACAACAACCCAAGTGTATTAGAATCTCGTGACTTACGCCGTGTAATAAAAATCCCCCAACGTGCAAGTACAAGCACATATCACATATCTTTCAATAAACCTTTATTAATATTAAATCTTGCACTATGAAGTATAAGTAATAATAGTAAAGTAAGTGAATTAGTAAAAAAACTGCGTAAAAGTGCTTGTAATTTATTATTAATTTTATGTGCAAAAAAGATTTTCAAACTGAGTTTGGCCGATTGTGATGCCAGTAGAAAAAATTAGTTCGATAGTTCAAAAAGGCAACAAGCTATCAAAAGAAAGCATTTAGGGAATATCTTTATGTGTATTTGTATAAATATTTAAAAAAAATGGTCAAGAAGCTTCTAAGTCCATGATACTCTTTAGTGACTGAAAGTGACATGTTATTGCATTCTAACCCTAACCCAGCTAAAATATTTTTTTCAAGTAGTGAGTAAGCAACATCATTGTTACTCCACCGCCGCCGCCGTCGTCAACACTATCCAGCCAAAAATACGTATCTAAATCTATGTCTACATCCAGTGGCGGCATTGAAAATCTGAATCCCTGAAATGACCCAAATTTATGGCCATCAATAATTACTGATGCAGACCGAACTAAGATTTCATTGAAAGGTCTAATCCGTTCTAAGACAGAATTTCTTTCAAACGATAGTGGACGGTGATTCATTGATGATGATGATGATGTTCTCCTAGCCGATTCCGGCCACGGCGGCCAATCTCATTGAGTCTAGCCAACTGCGCAGGGGATATTATAGTCCACAAGTGTACGCGCAGACACAAGTGCACTCTCTATTCCTGTCACTCTCATACTCCGGTGGGACGACTGCTCGACACGACCAGTGAGAGTTAAGGCGCAGGACCGACGGCTTTACGTGCTCTCCGAGGCACGGGGGTGAAACACCGCCAACTTCTCAACTCCGGGCTGTTATTGAGACTTACTATACAGAAAGACTCATTCATTGAATAGGTATCATTAGGTACAATAAAATATTAGCTAATGGCGAAAAATTAGACAGGCACTGGATGATTTATTCACAAAAAAAATATGCCATTTACAGCATTCTCTGTCGATTGTTCAGAATAGAATATAAAAAATTGGGTCCAGTGCAGAAGTTTTCAATTGGAAAAACTTGGATAAATATTTAAACTTTCATTAATCTAGTCGACAGCAAAAAGATCGTATGTTAAAATGGTTAATTGGAATTTAGAGAACGGGTGTGAACGGATGGTTAAATTTAGAGACTGGCTTAAAAAAGCAGTACGTCTATTGACTCTTTAGCCCATAGTCTTTGGCCCTCCAGAGTGGAGCGCAAGAGCCAAGAGCTTGAAAGAGTAGAAGTGCTCAATATGCAAAATAACGAGGAAACTCGCTCACGAGCATTTGCGATGGTGAAACCGGTGCACATTTCTCGACATCTTTAGCCGACCACGCTGATGCTGTGCCCGAGGTATTATACCGCGAGTGGGAGGCGAGTAACCGTACGCCAAATATTGAATCTGAGACTGTTGAGAAGGCGGACGCCCGATAGTCTTATCCAATAGCCCAGTTTTGTAGCCCATCCAAACTCCATTCCATAAACCCTATTAGTTTTTTACATTTTCCATAGTCCCTACGCATTATCCGGATCATATTTAAGCAATTCCTTATGAGTTACTCAGAGATGGATCCCGGCTGATGCTTCATGTTAAACGCTTATCAGGGGTCTCTACGTGTTGAACCTGAGGAACAAAAGTCTCCCAAAAGGCCGGGCTCCTCCGAGCCCGTGAATTCTAAAGAAATACAAATAATATCAATATCTCGGAAAAAATATTCGAAATGAGCTTATAGAATAATGACAAGTCACGCGAAGACTAAAAATGTTAACAAAATAATAAATTTATCTTCTTTGTGCTTGTTAACTTTTCTGAATTTCTAATATACAATTTTAAAACTCTAAATTTATTAACTTTTGCATTTCTCGTCAAGCATCGTCATTAAAAATATTTTCAATTCACATAAATCCCATAAAAGATAAGGGCCTCGCAAAGATCTACTGCCCGGGGCCTCGCAAAGATCTACTGCCCGGGGCCTCGCAATGGCTAAGGCCGCCCCTGTTCCCAGGGTCTCAAACTATTTCCATACCAAATTGCATCTGACTCGGTTCAGCGGTTAAGCGTGAAAAGATGACGGACTGACAGACAGGCAGATAGACAGACAGAGAGACAGAATTACTTTCGCATTTAATCTTCGTATGAATATATAAGCTGGCTTTTTTTGTGGTGCTGCTCTATCATCATTGGCTTGGGCTGAACGTTGATAAGTCAGTCAGTGAGCGACATTGCCTTTAATATATAATAAAAATAGTAATTGCGAATGTACCTTAGGAGATAGACATATACTATTGGAGACTTGTCTGTAGACCTTTTTAAGACCTACAATTTCCTAGTTGTTTTGATGTATCTCTTAGGTTTAGCCAGCGCTAGCCTTATACTAAGGACGACTCGATAGAACCAGTCATTGAGTTTTCCCCTGGGAATGAAAAATTTGCTGTAGTAAAAGGTATCCTAAACGTTGACCCGAGTAATAAGTTATGATTATACAAAATTTAGTTAAAATCGGTTCAGTACTTTTAGACTAGGTTTTATTATAGGTACATATAGATAAGAAAAGGTATTGCGAATGTACCTTAAAAGATTCTGTTGGCCTTTTTTAAGACCTAATTTTTTTTAGTACATTGTTTTGATGTATGTCTTAGTGTTTAGCCAGCGGAAGGTCTCTAAGGAGGACTCGATAAAACTAGTTATTGTGATTTTCTGTGGGAAAGAAAGATTTATCCTATCCTAAATGTTGACCCGAGTAATAAGTTAGGTATCACTTCAACAAAATTTTGTTGAAATCGGTTCATTACTTTCTGCCCAAAACGCGCACACACAAATAAACAGACATACAGACAAACAGATAAACAGACAAAAATTTTATTAACTATTGTTTTGGGGTCTATATTGTATACATAATACGTTACAGTCATTGTTATTATTAAATATTTCATGTACAGATTTCGCAAAGTTTTAATATTTGAGAAAAACATAATTACAGTGTTTTTCTCTGATTTTGATTAAATTAATTATTTTATATAGGTATGAAAAAAGCATATGATACATAAACTAATGTGTATTTAGAATAAGATTACATGCGTAATTTCCCAAGATATTTATCGATTAGATATAATATATCGATCGATTATTTATCATCTTGCCTGATGGTAGTGAAAAGTATAAATCTGGTAATGCTATTTTAATAGGGTTAGTAATTCAAAAGTACTGTTAGTAAACAATCGCAATACTTGTTAATATTATGTACGTTGTTGTACTTACATATTAAATAAATAAATATGTTGGGACATTAACATACGGCGCCATCTCGTTCCATGGCTACGAGACCTGTGTTATGGATAGCAGATAGTTGATATACTACACATATATTTATTTAAATACATACATACATATTATAAATATACCTAAACACCCATGACTGAAGTACAAACATTCGTTCACAAATGAATACCCCCAGCGGGATTCGAAACCGCGACCGCTAGCACTACAAACTGAGTCAAATATTATGTTATTTATTGATTACTAGCATTGCCCGCGGCTCCGCCCGCGTTCAGATGACCAAAAACCAAATTCTTAGGTTTTACATATTAGTATACTCTTACATTACAGTTTTTGTATTTTTTCTCAGAAATGAGACATTTTCCCGCGGTAAAAAGTATCCTATATGTTGACAGCTATCATCATACCAAATTTTATCAAAATCCCTCCAGTGGTTTTCTGTGATGCGGTAACAGATAGACAGACAGACAGACAAAAATTGTAATAACTATAGATTCGGCCTCTCTATCGATAATAAAGTCTATTTCAATAACATTTTCCAAAAAATATTTAATGTACAGATTCGGCTTAGTTACAATTTTATTATATGTATAGATTAAATCGACATTAGCTTTTATAATGAAAGCGTCAGTCTAACGTGTCTATAACCGTGTCTATAAAAATTTCACACAGAACACACATAAAGACTTTTTGAGCACAATAATAACATTTGCCAACCCGCACTTGGCCAGCGTGGTGGCCTATGGCCTGATCGCCCTCGCATTAAAGGGAGGTTTGTGCCCAGCAGTGAGACGTTAAAGAGGGCTGTATACACATACAGGTCCAAAAAAGGGTTTGTTAAAAACCGTTCAGTACTTTTTGCATGACACGCACACGTAATGAACCGATTTCAAGGTGTAGTGATAACTTATTACTCGGG